TGTGCAAAATAAAAAGAACAAGGGTCTAGCATGTGCAAAATTGCAAGAACAAGGGCCTAGCGTGTGCAAAATAAACAGAACAATGGCATAGCGTGTGCAAAATAGCAGAACAAGGGCCTAACGTGTGCAAAATAAAAAGAACAAGGGCCTAGCGTGTGCAAAATTGCAAGAACAAGGGCCTAGCATGTGCAAAATTGCAAGAACAAGGGCCTAGCGAGCGCAAAGTAGCAAGAGCAAGGGCTAGCGTGTGCAAAAAATCAAGAACAAGGGCCTAGCGTTCGCGAAATAGCAAGAACAAGGGCCTAGCGTCTGCCAAAAAAAAAAGAACAAGGGTCTAGCATGTGAGAAATTGCAAGAACAAGGGCCTAGTGTGTGCAAAATAAAAGGAACAAGGGCATAGCGTGTGCAAAATAGCAAGAACAAAGGCCTAGCGTGTGCAAAATAAAAAGAAAAAGGGCCTAGCATGTGCAAAATAAAAAGAACAAGGGCCTAGCGTGTGCAAAATTGCAAGAACAAGGGCCTAGCGTGTGCAAAATTGCAAGAACAAGGGCCTAGAGAGTGCAAAATAGCAAGAGCAAGGGCCTAGCGTGTACAAAAAATCAAGAACAAGGGCCTAACGTTCGCAAAATAGCAAGAACAAGGGCCTAGCGTGTGTAGAATAAAAAGAACAAGGACCTAGCGTGTGTAAAATAAAAAGATCAAGGGCCAGGCGTGTGCAAAATTGCAAGAACAAGGGCCTAGCGTGTGCAAAATAGCAAGAACAAGGGCCTAGCATGTGCAAAATAAAAAGAACAAGGGCCTAGCGTGTGCAAAATTGCAAGAACAAGGGCCTAGCGTGTGCAAAATTGCAAGAACAAGGGCCTAGCGAGTGCAAAATAGCAAGAGCAAGGGCCTAGCGTGTGCAAAAAATCAAGAACAAGAGCCTAGCGTTCGCAAAATAGCAAGAACAAGGGCCTAGCGTGTGCAAAAAAAAAAAGAACAAGGGCCTAGCGTGTGCAAAATAAAAAGAACAAGGGCCTAGCGTGTGCAGAATTGCAAGAACAAGGGCCTAGCGTGTGCACAATTGCAAGAACAAGGGCCTAGCGAGTGCAAAATAGCAAGAGCAAGGGCCTAGCGTGTGCAAAAAATCAAGAACAAGGGCCTAGCATTCGCGAAATAGCAAGAACAAGGACCTAGCGTATGCAAAATAAAAAGAACAAGGGTCTAGCATGTGCAAAATTGCAAGAACAAGGGCCTAGCCTGTGCAAAATATATAGAACAAGGGCATAGGGTGTGCAAAATAGCAAGAACAAGGGCCTAGCGTGTGCAAAATAGAAAGAACAAGGGCCTAGCGTGTGCAAAATTGCAAGAACAAGGGCCTAGCATGTGCAAAATTGCAAGAACAAGGGCCTAGCGAGCACAAAGTAGCAAGAGCAAGGGCTAGCGTGTGCTAAAAATCAAGAACAAGGGCCTAGCGTTCGCGAAATAGCAAGATCAAGAGCCTAGCGTCTGCAAAATAAAAAGAACAAGGGCATAGCGTGTGCAAAAAAGCAAGCACAAAGGCCTAGCGTGTGCATAATAAAAAGAACAAGGGCCTAGCGTGTGCAAAATAAAAAGAACAAGGGCCTAGCGTGTGCAAAATTGCAAGAACAAGGGCCTAGCGTGTGCAAAATTGCAAGAACAAGGGCCTAGCGAGTGCAAAATAGCAAGAACAAAGGCCTAGCGTGTGCAAAATAGCAAGAACAAAGGCCTAGCGTGTGCAAAATAAAAAGAACAAGGGCCTAGTGTTCGCAAAATAGCAAGAGCAAGGGCCTAGCGTGTCCAAAAAATAAAAAACAAGGGCCTAGAATTCGCGAAATAGCAAGAACAAGGACCTAGCGTGTGCAAAATAAAAAGAACAAGGGTCTAGCATGTGCAAAATTGCAAGAACAAGGGCCTAGCGTGTGCAAAATAAAAAGAACAAGGGCATAGCGTGTGCAAAATAGCAAGAACAAGGGCCTAGCGTATGCAAAATAAAAAGAACAAGGGCCTAGCGTGTGCAAAATTGCAAGAACAAGGGCCTAGCATGTGCAAAATTGCAAGAACAAAGGCCTAGCGAGCGCAAAGAAGCAAGAGCAAGGGCTAGCGTTCGCGAAATACTAAGATCAAGGGCCTAGCGTCTGCAAAAAAAAAAGAACAAGGGTCTAGCATTTGAGAAATTGCAAGAACAAGGGCCTAGTGTGTGCAAAATAAAAAGAGCAAGGGCATAGCGTGTGCAGAATAGCAAGAACAAGGGCCTAGCGTGTGCAAAATAAAAAGAACAAGGGCCTAGCATGTGCAAAATAAAAAGAACAAGGGCCTAGCGTGTGCAAAATTGCAAGAACAAGGGCCTAGCGTGTGCAAAATTGCAAAAACAAGGGCCTAGCGAGTGCAAAATAGCAAGAGCGAGGGCCTATCGTGTGCAAAAAATCAAGAACAAGGGCCTAGCGTTCCCAAAATAGCAAGAACAAGGATCTAGCGTGTGCAAAATAAAAAGAACAAGGGCAAAGCGTGTGCAAACTAAAAAGAACAAGGGCATAGCGTGTGCAAAATAGCAAGAATATGGGCCTAGCGTGTGCAAAATTGCTAGAACAAGGGCCTAGCGTGTGCAAAATTGCAAGAACAAGGGCCGAGCAAGTGCAATATAGCAAGAGCAAGGGCCTAGCGTGTGCAAAAAATCAAGAACAAGGACCTAGCGTTTGCGAAATAGCAAGAACAATGGCCTAGCATGTGCAAAATAAAAAGAACAAGGGACTAGCATGTGCAAAATAAAAAGAACAAGGGCCTAGCGAGTGCAAATTTGCAAGAACTAGGGTCTAGCGTGTGCAGAATTGCAAGAACAAGGGCCTAGCATGTGCACAATTGCAAGAACAAGGGCCTAGCGAGTGCAAAATAGCTAGAGCAAGGGCCTAGCGTGTGCAAAAAATCAAGAACAAGGGCGTAGCATTCGCGAAATAGCAAGAACAAGGGCCTAGCGAGTGCAAAATAAAAAGAACAAGGGTCTAGCATATGCAAAATTGCAAGAACAAGGGCCTTGCGTGTGCAAAATAAAAAGAACAAGGGCATAGCGTGTGCAGAATAGCAAGAACAAGGGCCTAGCGTGTGCAAAATAAAAAGAACAAGGGCCTAGCGTGTGCAAAATTGCAAGAACAAGGGCCTAGCATGTGCAAAATTGCAAGAACAAGGGCCTAGCGAGCGCAAAGTAGCAAGAGCAGGGGCCTAGCGTGTGCAAAATAACAAGAACAAGGGCCTAGCATTCGCAAAATTAAAAGAAGGGCCTAGCGTGAGCAAAATTGCCCGAACAAGGGCCTAGCGTGTGCAAATTAGCAAGAACAAGGGCCTAGCGTGTGCAAAATGAAAAGAACAAGGGTCAAGCATGTGGAAAATTGCAAGAACAAGGGCCAAGCGTGAACAAAATAAAAAGAACAAGGGCATAGCGTGTGCAAAATAGCAAGAATCAGGGACTAGCATGTGCAAAATAAAAAGAACAAGGGCAAAGCGTGTGCAAACTAAAAAGAACAAGGGCATAGCGTGTGCAAAATAGCAAGAATATGGGCCTAGCGTGTGCAAAATTGCAAGAACAAGGGCCTAGCGTGTGCAAAATTGCAATAACAAGGGCCGAGCAAGTGCAATATAGCAAGAGCAAGGGATTAGCGTGTGCAAAAAATCAAGAACAAGGACCTAGCGTTTGCGAAATAGCAAGAACAATGGCCTAGCATGTGCAAAATAAAATGAACAAGGGCCTAGCATGTGCAAAATAAAAAGAACAAGGGCCTAGCGAGTGCAAATTTGCAAGAACAAGGGTCTAGCGTGTGCAGAATTGCAAGAACAAGGGCCTAGCATGTGCACAATTGCAAGAACAAGGGCCTAGCGAGTGCAAAATAAAAAGAACAAGGGCCTAGCGTGTGCAAAATTGCAAAAACAAGGGCCTAGCGTGTGCAAAATAAAAAGAACAAGGGCCTAGCGTGTGCAAAATTGCAAGAACAAGGGCCTAGCATGTGCAAAATTGCAAGAACAAGGGCCTAGCGAGCGCAAAGTAGCAAGAGCAAGGGCTAGCGTTCGCAAAATAGCAAGATCAAGGGCCTAGCGTCTGCAAAATAAAAAGAACAAGGGTCTAGCATGTGAAAAATTGCAAGAACAAGGGCCTAGTGTTTGCAAAATAAAAAGAACAAGGGCATAGCGTGTGCAAAATAGCAAGAACAAGGGCCTAGCGTGTGCAAAATAAACAGAACAAGGGCCTAGCGTGTGCAAAATTGCAAGAACAAGGGCCTAGCATGTGCAAAATTGCAAGAGCAAGGGCCTAGCGAGCGCAAAGTAGCAAGAGCAAGGGCTAGCGTTCGCGAAATAGCAAGATCAAGGGCCTAGCGTCTGCAAAATAAAAAGAACAAGGGTCTAGCATGTGAAAAATTGCAAGAACAAGGGCCTAGTGTGTGCAAAATACAACGAACAAGGGCATAGCATGTGCAAAATAGCAAGAACAAGGGCCTAGCGTGTGCAAAATGATAAGAACAAGGGCCTAGCGTGTGCAAAATATAAAGAACAAGGGCCTAGCGTGTGCAAAATTGCAAGAACAAGGGCCTAGCATGTGCAAAATTGCAAGAACAAGGGCCTAGCCAGTGCAAAATAGCAAGAGCGAGGCCCTATCGTGTGCAAAAAATCAAGAACAAGGGCCTAGCGTTCGCAAAATAGCAAGAACAAGGGCCTAGCGTGTGCAAAAAAAAAAGAACAAGGGCCAACCTTGTGCAAACTAAAAAGAACAAGGGCACAGCGTGTGCAAAATAGCAAGAATATGGGCCTAGAGTGTGCAAAATAAAAAGAACAAGGGCATAGCGTGTGCAAAATAGCAAGAACAAGGGCCTAGCGTGTGCAAAATAAAAATAACAAGGGCCTAGCGTGTGCAAAATTGCAAGAACAAGGGCCTAGCATGTGCAAAATTGCAAGAACAAGGGCCTAGCGAGCGCAAAGTAGCAAGAGCAAGGGCTAGCGTTCGCAAAATAGCAAGATCAAGGGCGTAGCGTCTGCAAAATAAAAAGAACAAGGGTCTAGCATGTGAAAAATTGCAAGAACAGGGGCCTAGTGTGTGCAAAATAAAAAGAACAAGGGCATAGCGTGTGCAAAATAGCAAGAACAAAGGCCTAGCGTGTGCAAAATAAAAAGAACAAGGGCCTAGCGTGTGCAAAATAAAAAGAACAAGGGCCTAGCGTGTGCAAAATAAAAAGAACAAGGGCCAAGTCCTCCACGTCCACGTCCATGTCCATGTCCACGTCCACGTCCATGTCCACATCCATGTCCACGTCGAAGTCCACGTCCACGTCCACGTCCACGTCCACGTCCACGTCCACTTCCAAGTCCACGTCCACGTCCACGACAATGTCCACGTCTACGTCCACGTCCACGTCCAGGTCCACGTCCACGTCCACGTCCATGTCCACGTCCACGTCCACGTCCATGTCCACGTCCACGTCCACGTCCACGTCCATGTCAACGTCCACGTCCACGTCCACGTCCACTTCCACGTCCACGTCCACGTCCATGTCCATGTCCACGTCCACGTCCACGTCCACGTCCACGTCCACGTCCCTGTCCACGTCTACGTCCACGTCCACGTCCACGTCCATGTCCATGTCCACGTCCACGTCCACGACCACGTCCACGTCCATGTCCACGTCCATGTCCACGTCCACGTCCATGTCCACATCTACGTCCATGTCCACGTCGACCTCCATGTCCATGTCCACCTCCACGTCCATGTCCACGTCCACGTCCACGTCCACGTCCATGTCCACGTCCACGTCCACGTCCACGTCCACGTCCATGTTCACGTCCATGTCCACGTCCACGTCCACGTTCACGTCCACGTCCACGTCCATGTCGACGTCCACGTCCACGTCCCTGTTCACGTCCACGTCCATGTCCACGTCCACGTCCATGTCCACCTCCATGTCCACGTCCACGTCCACGTCCACGTCCACGTCCATATCCACGTCCATGTCCACGTCCACGTCCATGTCCACGTCCACGTCCACGTCCACGTCCATGTCCACGTCCAAGGCCTCCATGTCCATGTCCACGTCTATGTCCACGTCCACGTCCACGTCCATGTCCACGTCCATGTCCAAGTCCATGTCCACGTCCACGTCCACGTCCACGTCCACGTCCATGTCCACGTCCAAGTCCTCCATGTCCACGTCCAAGTCCATGTCCACGTCCACGTCCACGTCCATGTCCACGTCCCATCCACGTCCACGTCCATGTCCATGTCCACGTCCACGTCCACGTCCATGTCCACATCCATGTCCACGTCCATGTCCATGTCCACGTCCACGTCCATGTCCACATCCATGTCCATGTCAACGTCCATGTCCAGGTCCACATCCACGTCCACGTCCACGTCCATGTCCACGTCCACGTCCACGTCCATGTCCAGATCCACGTCCATGTCCACGTCCACGTCCACGTTCATGTCCACGTCCATGTCCACGTCCACGTCCATGTCCACGTCCATGTCCACGTCCATGTCCACGTCCATGTCCACGTCCACGTCCACGTCCATGTCCACGTCCACGTCCACGTCCACGTCCATGTCCACGTCCACGTCCACGTCCATGTCGACGTCCACGTCTATGTCCACGTCCATGTCAACGTCCATGTTCACGTCCACGTCCACGTCCATGTCCACGTCCACGTCCACGTCTACATCCATGTCCACACCCATGTCCACGTCCACGTCCATGTCCACGTCCATGTCCACGTCCACGTCCACGTCCACGTCCATGTCCACGTCCATGTCCACGTCCACGTCCACGTCCATGTCCACGTCCACGTCCATGTCCACGTCCACGTCCACGTCCATGTCCATGTCCATGTCCATGTCCACGTCCACGTCCACGTCCACGTCCACGTCCACGTCCATGTCCTCGTCCACGTCCATGTCCACGTCCAGGTCCACGTCCATGTCCACGTCCACGTCCACATCCACGTCCATGTCCACGTCCAAGTCCTCCACGTCCACGTCCACGTCCATGTCCACGTCCATGTCCACGTCCATGTCCACGTCCATGTCCACGTCCATGTCCACGTCCACGTCCACGTCCACGTCCATGTCCACGTCCACGTCCACATCCACGTCCATGTCCATGTCCACGTCCATGTCCACGTCCACGTCCACGTCCACGTCCATGTCCACGTCCAAGTCCTCCACGTCCACGTCCATGTCCACGTCCACGTCCACGTCCATGTCCACGTCCACGTCCACGTCCATGTCCACGTCCACGTCAACGTCCATGTCCATGTCCATGTCCATGTCCACGTCCACGTCCACGTCCATGTCCACGTCCATGTCCATGTCCACGTCCACGTCCACGTCCACGTCCATGTCCTCGTCCATGTCCACGTCCACGTCCATGTCCATGTCCACGTCCACGTCCACCTCCACGTCCATGTCCACGTCCAAGTCCTCCACGTCCACGTCCACGTCCATGTCCACGTCCACGTCCACGTCGACGTCCACGTCCATGTCCACGTCCACGTCCACGTCCTTCTCCACGTCCACGTCCACATCCACGTCCATGTCCACGTCCAAGTCCTCCACGTCCACGTCCACGTCCATGTCCACGTCCACGTCCACGTCCACGTCCACGCCCACGTCCATGTCCACGTCCATGTCCATGTCCACGTCCATGTACACGTCCACGTTCACGTCCACGTCCATGTCCACGTCCAAGTCCTCCACGTCCACGTCCATGTCCACGTCCACGTCCACGTCCATGTCCACGTCCACGTCCACGTCCATGTCGACGTCCACGTCCATGTCCACGTCCATGTCAACGTCCATGTTCACGTCCACGTCCACGTCCATGTCCACGTCCACGTCCACGTCTACATCCATGTCCACACCCATGTCCACGTCCACGTCCATGTCCACGTCCATGTCCACGTCCACGTCCACGTCCACGTCCATGTCCACGTCCATGTCCACGTCCACGTCCACGTCCATGTCCACGTCCACGTCCATGTCCACGTCCACGTCCACGTCCATGTCCATGTCCATGTCCATGTCCACGTCCACGTCCACGTCCACGTCCACGTCCACGTCCATGTCCTCGTCCACGTCCATGTCCACGTCCAGGTCCACGTCCATGTCCACGTCCACGTCCACATCCACGTCCATGTCCACGTCCAAGTCCTCCACGTCCACGTCCACGTCCATGTCCACGTCCATGTCCACGTCCATGTCCACGTCCATGTCCACGTCCATGTCCACGTCCACGTCCACGTCCACGTCCATGTCCACGTCCACGTCCACATCCACGTCCATGTCCATGTCCACGTCCATGTCCACGTCCACGTCCACGTCCACGTCCATGTCCACGTCCAAGTCCTCCATGTCCACGTCCATGTCCACGTCCACGTCCACGTCCATGTCCACGTCCACGTCCACGTCCATGTCCACGTCCACGTCAACGTCCATGTCCATGTCCATGTCCATGTCCACGTCCACGTCCACGTCCATGTCCACGTCCATGTCCATGTCCACGTCCACGTCCACGTCCACGTCCATGTCCTCGTCCATGTCCACGTCCACGTCCATGTCCATGTCCACGTCCACGTCCACCTCCACGTCCATGTCCACGTCCATGTCCACGTCCATGTCCACGTCCACGTCCACGTCCACGTCCATGTCCACGTCCACGTCCACATCCACGTCCATGTCCATGTCCACGTCCATGTCCACGTCCACGTCCACGTCCACGTCCATGTCCACGTCCAAGTCCTCCACGTCCACGTCCATGTCCACGTCCACGTCCACGTCCATGTCCACGTCCACGTCCACGTCCATGTTTACGTCCACGTCAACGTCCATGTCCATGTCCATGTCCATGTCCACGTCCACGTCCACGTCCATGTCCACGTCCATGTCCATGTCCACGTCCACGTCCACGTCCACGTCCATGTCCTCGTCCATGTCCACGTCCACGTCCATGTCCATGTCCACGTCCACGTCCACCTCCACGTCCATGTCCACGTCCAAGTCCTCCACGTCCACGTCCACGTCCATGTCCACGTCCACGTCCACGTCCACGTCCACGTCCATGTCCACGTCCACGTCCACGTCCTTCTCCACGTCCACGTCCACATCCACGTCCATGTCCACGTCCAAGTCCTCCACGTCCACGTCCACGTCCATGTCCACGTCCACGTCCACGTCCACGTCCACGTCCACGCCCACGTCCATGTCCACGTCCATGTCCATGTCCACGTCCATATACACGTCCACGTTCACGTCCACGTCCATGTCCACGTCCAAGTCCTCCACGTCCACGTTCATGTCCACGTCCACGTCCACGTCCATATCCACGTCAACGACCACGTCCATGTCCATGTCCACGTCCATGTCCATGCCACGTCCATGTCCACATCCATGTCCACGTCCACGTCCATGTCCACGTCCACGTCCACGTCCATGTCCACGTCCAGGTCCACCTCCACGTCCACGTCCACGTCCATGTCCATGTCCACGTCCACGTCCATGTCCACATCCACGTCCACGTCGAAGTCCACGTCCACATCCACGTCCACGACCACGTCCACCTCCAAGTCCACGTCCACGTCCACGACAATGTCCACGTCTACGTCCACGTCCATGTCCAGGTCCACGTCCACGTCCACGTCCATGTCCACGTCCACGTCCACGTCCATGTCCACGTCCACGTCCACGTCCACGTCCATGTCAACGTCCACGTCCACGTCCACGTCCACTTCCACGTCCACGTCCACGTCCACGTCGATGTCCATGTCCACGTCCACGTCCACGTCCACGTCCACGTCCACGTCCCTGTCCACGTCTACGTCCACGTCCACGTCCACGTCCATGTCCATGTCCACGTCCACGTCCACGTCCACGATCACGTCCACGTCCATGTCCACGTCCACGTCCATGTCCACGTCCACGTCCATGTCCACCTCTACGTCCATGTCCACGTCCACGTCCATGTCCATGTCCACCTCCACGTCCATGTCCACGTCCACGTCCACGTCCATGTCCACGTCCACGTCCACGTCCACGACCACGTCCACGTCCACGTCCACGTCCATGTCCACGTCCATGTCTACGTCCACGTCCACGTCCACGTTCACGTCCACGTCCGCGTCCATGTCGACGTCCACGTCCACGTCCCTGTTCACGTCCACGTCCATGTCCACGTCGACGTCCATGTCCACGTCCATGTCCACGTCCACGTCCACGTCCACGTCCATATCCACGTCCATGTCCACGTCCACGTCCATGTCCACGTCCACGTCCACGTCCACGTCCATGTCCACGTCCAAGGCCTCCATGTCCATGTCCACGTCTATGTCCACGTCCACGTCCACGTCCATGTCCACGTCCTCGTCCAAGTCCATGTCCACATCCACGTCCACGTCCACGTCCACGTCCATGTCCACGTCCAAGTCCTCCACGTCCACGTCCAAGTCCATGTCCACGTCCACGTCCACGTCTATGTCCACGTCCCATCCACGTCCACGTCCATATCCATGTCCACGTCCACGTCCATGTCCACATCCATGTCCACGTCCATGTCCATGTCCACGTCCACGTCCATGTCCACATCCATGTCCATGTCAACGTCCATGTCCAGGTCCACATCCACGTCCACGTCCACGTCCATGTCCACGTCCACGTCCACATCCACGTCCACGTCCACGTCCATGTCCACGTCCACATCCACGTTCATGTCCAGATCCACGTCCACGTCCACGTCCACGTCCACGTCCATGTCCACGTCCATGTCCACGTCCACGTCCATGTCCACGTCCACGACCATGTCCACGTCCACGTCCACGTCCACGTCCACGACCATGTCCACGTTCACGTCCACGTCCACGTCCATGTCCACGTCCACGTCCACGTCCATGTCGACGTCCACGTCCACGTCCACGTCCACGTCAACGTCCATGTTCACGTCCACGTCCACGTCCACGTCCATGTCCACGTCCACGTCCATGTCCAGATCCATGTCCACATTTATGTCCACGTCCACGTCCACGTCCACGTCCACGTCCACGTCACATCCACGTCCACGTCCATGTCCACGTCCAAGTCCTCCACGTCCACGTCCATGTCCACGTCCACGTCCACGTCCATGTCCACGTCCACGTCCACGTCCACGTCCACGTCCACGTCCATGTCCATGTCCATGTCCATGTCCATGTCCACGTCTACGTCCACGTCCACGTCCACGTCCATGTCCACGTCCATGTCCATGTCCACGTCCACGTCCACGTCCACGTCCACGTCCTCGTCCACGTCCATGTCCACGTCCACGTCCACGTCCACGTCCACGTCCATGTCCACGTCCACGTCCACCTCCACGTCCATGTCCACGTCCAAGTCCTCCACGTCCACGTCCATGTCCATGTCCACGTCCACGTCCACGTCCACGTCCATGTCCACGTCCACGTCCACGTCCACGTCCATGTCCACGTCCACGTCCACATCCACGTCCATGTCCACGTCCAAGTCCTCCACGTCCATGTCCACGTCCACGTCCACGTCCACGTCCACGCCAACGTCCACGCCCACGTCCATGTCCACGTCCATGTCCATGTCCACGTCCATGTACACGTCCACGTTCACGTCCACGTCCATGTCCACGTCCAAGTCCTCCACGTCCACGTCCACGTCCATGTCCACGTCCACGTCCACGTCCACGTCCATGTCCACGTCCACGACCACGTCCATGTCCATGTCCACGTCCATGTCCATGCCACGTCCATGTCCACATCCATGTCCACGTCCACGTCCATGTCCACGTCCACGTCCACGTCCATGTCCACGTCCATGTCCACCTCCACGTCCACGTCCACGTCCAGGTCCATGTCCATGTCCATGTCCACGTCCACGTCCACGTCCACGTCCATGTCCACATCCATGTCCACGTCCATGTCCATGTCCACGTCCACGTCCACGTCTATGTCCACGTCCATGTCCATGTCTATGTCCACGTCCACGTCCATGTCCACGTCTATGTCCACGTCCCTGTCCACGTCCATGTCCATGTCCACGTTCACGACCATGTCCACGTCGACGTCCACGTCCACGTCCACGTCCACGACCAGGTCCACAACCACGTCCACATCCAGGTCCACCTCCACGTCCACGACCACGTCCACGTCGACGTCCACGTCCAAGTCCACGTCCACGTCCACGACCGTCCACGTCCACGTCCACGTCCAAGTCCTCCACGTCCACGTCCATGTCCATGTCCACGTCCTCGTCCACGTCCATGTCCACGTCCACGTCCACGTCCATGTCCACGTCTATGTCCACGTCCATGTCCACGTCCACGTCCACCTACACGTCCACGTCCATGTCCACGTCCATGTCCACGTCCATGTCCACGTCCACGTCCATGTCCATGTCCACGTCCACGTCTACGTCCACGTCCACGTCCATGTCCACATCCATGTCTACGTCCATGTCCACGTCCACGTCTATGTCCACGTCCATGTCCACGTCCATGTCCACGTCCACATCCACGTCCATGTCCACGTCCATGTCCACGTCCACGTTTATGTCCACATCCACGTCCACGTCCACGTCAATGTCCACGTCTATGTCCACGTCCATGTCCACGTCTATGTCCACGTCCATGTCCACGTCCACGTCCACGTCCACGTCCATGTCCATGTCCATGTCCATGTCCAAGTCCATGTCCACGTCTATGTCCACGTCCGTGTCCACGTCCATGTCCATGTCCACGTTCACGACCATGTCCACGTCGACGTCCACGTCCACGTCCACGTCCACGACCAGGTCCACAACCACGTCCACATCCAGGTCCACCTCCACGTCCATGACCACGTCCACGTCCACGTCCACGTCCAAGTCCACGTCCACGTCCACGACCGTCCACGTCCACGTCCACGTCCACGTCCAAGTCCTCCACGTCCACGTCCATGTCCATGTCCACGTCCTCGTCCACGTCCATGTCCACGTCCACGTCCACGTCCATGTCCACGTCCACCTCCACGTCCATGTCCACGTCCACGTCCACCTCCACGTCCACGTCCATGTCCACGTCCATGTCCACGTCCATGTCCACGTCCACGTCCATGTCCATGTCCACGTCCACGTCCACGTCCACGTCCATGTCCACGTCCACGTCTACGTCCATGTCCACGTCCACGTCTATGTCCACGTCCATGTCCACGTCCATGTCCACGTCCACATCCACGTCCATGTCCACGTCCATGTCCACGTCCACGTCCATGTCCACATCCACGTCCACGTCCACGTCAATGTCCACGTCCACGTCCATGTCCACGTCCATGTCCACGTCCACGTCTACGTCCACGTCCACGTCCACATCCATGTCCACGTCCACGTCCACGTCCATGTCCACGTCCAAGTCCTCCACGTCAACGTCCACGTCCATGTCCACGTCCACGTCCACGTCCACGTCCATGTCCACGTCCACGTCCCCGTCCATGTCCATGTCCATGTCCCATCCACGTCCATGTCCACGTCCACGTCCACGTCCACGTCCATGTCCACGTCCACGTCCACGTCCATGTCCACGTCCACGTCCACGTCCATGTCCACGTCCACGTCCACGTCCACGTCCATGTCCACGTCCACGTCCACGTCCATGTCCACGTCCACGTCCACATCCACGTCCATGTCCACGTCCAAGTCCTCCACGTCCACGTCCACGTCCATGTCCACGTCCACGTCCATGTCCACGTCCACGTCCACGTCCACGTCCACGTCCACGCCCACGTCCATGTCCACGTCCATGTCCATGTCCACGTCCATGTACACGTCCACGTTCACGTCCACGTCCATGTCCACGTCCAAGTCCTCCACGTCCACGTCCACGTCCCTGTCCACGTCCACGTCCACGTCCATGTCCACGTCCACGACCACGTCCATGTCCATGTCCACGTCCATGTCCATGCCACGTCCATGTCCACATCCATGTCCACGTCCACGTCCATGTCCACATCCACGTCCACGTCCATGTCCACGTCCATGTCCACCTCCACTTCCACGTCCACGTCCATGTCCATGTCCATGTCCATGTCCACGTCCACGTCCACGTCCACGTCCATGTCCACATCCATGTCCACGTCCATGTCCATGTCCACGTCCACGTCCACGTCTATGTCCACGTCCATGTCCATGTCTATGTCCACGTCCACGTCCATGTCGACGTCCACGTCCATGTCCATGTCGAAGTCCATGTCCACGTCTATGTCCACGTCCGTGTCCACGTCCATGTCCATGTCCACGTTCACGACCATGTCCACGTCGACGTCGACGTCCACGTCCACGTCCACGACCAGGTCCACAACCACGTCCACATCCAGGTCCACCTCCACGTCCATGACCACGTCCACGTCCACGTCCACGTCCAAGTCCACGTCCATGTCCACGACCGTCCACGTCCACGTCCACGTCCACGTCCACGTCCAAGTCCTCCACGTCCACGTCCATGTCCATGTCCACGTCCTCGTCCACGTCCATGTCCACGTCCACGTCCACGTCCATGTCCACGTCCACCTCCACGTCCATGTCCACGTCCACGTCCACCTCCACGTCCACGTCCATGTCGACGTCCACGTCCATGTCCACGTCCACGTCCATGTCCATGTCCACGTCCACGTCCACGTCCACGTCCATGTCCACGTCAACGTCTACGTCCATGTCCACGTCCACGTCTATGTCCACGTCCATGTCCACGTCCATGTCCACGTCCACATCCACGTCCATGTCCACGTCCATGTCCACGTCCACGTCCATGTCCACATCCACGTCCACGTCCACGTCAATGTCCACGTCCACGTCCATGTCCACGTCCATGTCCACGTCCACGTCTACGTCCACGTCCACGTCCACATCCATGTCCACGTCCACGTCCATGTCCACGTCCACGTCCATGTCCACGTCCATGTCCATGTCCCATCCACGTCCATGTCCACGTCCACGTCCACGTCCACGTCCATGTCCACGTCCACGTCCACGTCCACGTCCATGTCCACGTCCACGTCCACGTCCATGTCGACGTCCACGTCCACGTCCACGTCCATGTCCACGTCCACGTCCACGTCCATGTCCACGTCCACGTCCACATCCACGTCCACGTCCAAGTCCTCCACGTCCACGTCCACGTCCATGTCCACGTCCACGTCCACGTCCACGTCCACGTCCACGCCCACGTCCATGTCCACGTCCATGTCCATGTCCACGTCCATGTACACGTCCACGTTCACGTCCACGTCCATGTCCACGTCCAAGTCCTCCACGTCCACGTCCACGTCCATGTCCACGTCCACGTCCACGTCCATGTCCACGTCCACGACCACGTCCATGTCCATGTCCACGTCCATGTCCATGCCACGTCCATGTCCACATCCATGTCCACGTCCACGTCCATGTCCACGTCCACGTCCACGTCCATGTCCACGTCCATGTCCACCTCCACGTCCACGTCCACGTCCATGTCCATGTCCATGTCCATGTCCACGTCCACGTCCACGTCCACGTCCATGTCCACATCCATGTCCACGTCCATGTCCATGTCCACGTCCACGTCCACGTCTATGTCCACGTCCATGTCCATGTCTATGTCCACGTCCACGTCCATGTCGACGTCCACGTCCATGTCCATGTCCAAGTCCATGTCCACGTCTATGTCCACGTCCCTGTCCACGTCCATGTCCATGTCCACGTTCACGACCATGTCCACGTCGACGTCCACGTCCACGTCCACGTCCACGACCAGGTCCACAACCACGTCCACATCCAGGTCCACCTCCACGTCCACGACCACGTCCACGTCCACGTCCACGTCCAAGTCCACGTCCACGTCCACGACCGTCCACGTCCACGTCCACGTCCACGTCCAAGTCCTCCACGTCCACGTCCATGTCCATGTCCACGTCCTCGTCCACGTCCATGTCCACGTCCACGTCCACGTCTATGTCCACGTCCACCTCCACGTCCATGTCCACGTCCACGTCCACCTCCACGTCCACGTCCATGTCCACGTCCATGTCCACGTCCATGTCCACGTCCATGTCCATGTCCATGTCCACGTCCACGTCCACGTCCACGTCCACGTCCATGTCCACGTCCACGTCTACGTCCATGTCCACGTCCACGTCCATGTCCACGTCCATGTCCACGTCCATGTCCACGTCCACATCCACGTCCATGTCCACGTCCATGTCCACGTCCACGTCCATGTCCACATCCACGTCCACGTCCACGTCAATGTCCACGTCCACGTCCATGTCCACGTCCATGTCCACGTCCACGTCTACGTCCGCTTCCACGTCCACATCCATGTCCACGTCCACGTCCACGTCCATGTCTACGTCCAAGTCCTCCACGTCAACGTCCACGTCCATGTCGACGTCCACGTCCATGTCCACGTCCATGTCAACGTCCATGTTCACGTCCACGTCCACGTCCATGTCCACGTCCACGTCCACGTCTACATCCATGTCCACATCCATGTCCACGTCCACGTCCATGTCCACGTCCATGTCCACGTCCACGTCCACGTCCACGTCCACGTCCATGTCCACGTCCATGTCCACGTCCACGTCCACGTCCACGTCCATGTCCACGTCCAAGTCCTCCACGTCCACGTCCATGTCCACGTCCACGTCCACGTCCATGTCCACGTCCACGTCCACGTCCATGTCCACGTCCACGTCCACGTCCATGTCCATGTCCATGTCCATGTCCACGTCCACGTCCACGTCCACGTCCACGTCCACGTCCACGTCCATGTCCTCGTCCACGTCCATGTCCACGTCCAGGTCCACGTCCATGTCCACGTCCACATCCACGTCCATGTCCACGTCCAAGTCCTCCACGTCCACGTCCACGTCCATGTCCACGTCCATGTCCACGTCCATGTCCACGTCCATGTCCACGTCCACGTCCATGTCCACGTCCACGTCCACGTCCACGTCCATGTCCACGTCCACGTCCACGTCCATGTCGACGTCCACGTCCATGTCCACGTCCATGTCAACGTCCATGTTCACGTCCACGTCCACGTCCACGTCCACGTCCATGTCCACGTCCACGTCCACGTCCACATCCATGTCCACATCCATGTCCACGTCCACGTCCATGTCCACGTCCATGTCCACGTCCACGTCCACATCCACGTCCATGTCCATGTCCACGTCCATGTCCACGTCCACGTCCACGTCCACGTCCATGTCCACGTCCAAGTCCTCCACGTCCACGTCCATGTCCACGTCCACGTCCACGTCCATGTCCACGTCCACGTCCACGTCCATGTCCACGTCCACGTCAACGTCCATGTCCATGTCCATGTCCATGTCCACGTCCACGTCCACGTCCACGTCCACGTCCATGTCCACGTCCATGTCCATGTCCACGTCCACGTCCACGTCCACGTCCATGTCCTCGTCCATGTCCACGTCCACGTCCACGTCCATGTCCACGTCCACTTCCACATCCACGTCCATGTCCACGTCCAAGTCCTCCACGTCCACGTCCACGTCCATGTCCACGTCCACGTCCACGTCCACGTCCATGTCCACGTCCACGTCCACGTCCTTCTCCACGTCCACGTCCACATCCACGTCCATGTCCACGTCCAACTCCTCCACGTCCACGTCCACGTCCATATCCACGTCCACGTCCACGTCCACGTCCACGCCCACGTCCATGTCCACGTCCATGTCCATGTCCACGTCCATGTACACGTCCACGTTCACGTCCACGTCCATGTCCACGTCCAAGTCCTCCACGTCCACGTCCATGTCCACGTCCACGTCCACGTCCATATCCACGTCCACGACCACGTCCATGTCCATGTCCACGTCCATGTCCATGCCACGTCCATGTCCACATCCATGTCCACGTCGACGTCCATGTCCACGTCCACGTCCACGTCCATGTCCACGTCCAGGACCACCTCCACGTCCACGTCCACGTCCATGTCCATGTCCACGTCCACGTCCATGTCCACATCCACGTCCACGTCGAAGTACACGTCCACATCCACGTCCACGACCACATCCACCTCCAAGTCCACGTCCACGTCCACGACAATGTCCACGTCTACGTCCACGTCCACGTCCAGGTCCACGTCCACGTCCACGTCCATGTCCACGTCCACGTCCACGTCCATGTCCACGTCCACGTCCACGTCCACGTCCATGTCAACGTCCACGTCCACGTCCACGTCCACTTCCACGTCCACGTCCACGTCCACGTCCATGTCCATGTCCACGTCCACGTCCACGTCCACGTCCACGTCCACGTCCCTGTCCACGTCTACGTCCACGTCCACGTCCACGTCCATGTCCATGTCCACGTCCACGTCCACGTCCACGTCCACAACCACGTCCACGTCCATGTCCACGTCCACGTCCATGTCCACGTCCACGTCCATGTCCACATCTACGTCCATGTCCACGTCGACGTCCATGTCCATGTCCACCTCCACGTCCATGTCCACGTCCACGTCCACGTCCACGTCCACGTCCATGTCCACGTCCACGTCCACGTCCACGACCACGTCCACGTCCACGTCCACGTCCATGTCCACGTCCATGTCTACGTCCACGTCCACGTCCACGTTCACGTCCACGTCCGCGTCCATGTCGACGTCCACGTCCACGTCCCTGTTCACGTCCACGTCCATGTCCACGTCCACGTCCATGTCCACGTCCATGTCCACGTCCACGTCCACGTCCATATCCACGTCCATGTCCACGTCGATGTCCACGTCCACGTCCACGTCCACGTCCATGTCCACGTCCAAGGCCTCCATGTCCATGTCCACGTCTATGTCCACGTCCACGTCCACGTCCATGTCCACGTCCTCGTCCAAGTCCATGTCCACATCCACGTCCACGTCCACGTCCACGTCCACGTCCATGTCCACGTCCAAGTCCTCCACGTCCACGTCCAAGTCCATGTCCACGTCCACGTCCACGTCCATGTCCACGTCCCATCCACGTCCACGTCCATGTCCATGTCCACGTCCACGTCCACGTCCATGTCCACATCCATGTCCACGTCCATGTCCATGTCCACGTCCACGTCCATGTCCACATCCATGTCCATGTCAACGTCCATGTCCAGGTCCACATCCACGTCCACGTCCACGTCCATGTCCACGTCCACGTCCACGTCCATGTCCAGATCCACGTCCATGTCCACGTCCACGTCCACGTTCATGTCCACGTCCATGTCCACGTCCACGTCCATGTCCACGTCCATGTCCACGTCCATGTCCACGTCCATGTCCACGTCCACGTCCACGTCCATGTCCACGTTCACGTCCACGTCCACGTCCATGTCCACGTCCACGTCCACGTCCATGTCGACGTCCACGTCCATGTCCACGTCCATGTCAACGTCCATGTTCACGTCCACGTCCACGTCCACGTCCATGTCCACGTCCACATCCATGTCCACATCCATGTCCACGTCCACGTCCATGTCCACGTCCATGTCCACGTCCACGTCCACGTCCACGTCCATGTCCACGTCCATGTCCACGTCACGTCCACGTCCACGTCCATGTCCACGTCCAAGTCCTCCACGTCCACGTCCATGTCCACGTCCACGTCCACGTCCATGTCCACGTCCACGTCCACGTCCATGTCCACGTCGACGTCCACGTCCATGTCCATGTCCATGTCCATGTCCATGTCCACGTCTACGTCCACGTCCACGTCCACGTCCACGTCCATGTCCACGTCCATGTCCATGTCCATGTCCACGTCCACGTCCACGTCCACGTCCTCGTCCACGTCCATGTCCACGTCCACGTCCACGTCCACGTCCATGTCCACGTCCACGTCCACATCCACGTCCATGTCCACGTCCAAGTCCTCCACGTCCACGTCCATGTCCATGTCCACGTCCACGTCCACGTCCATGTCCACGTCCACGTCCACGTCCACGTCCATGTCCACGTCCACGTCCACATCCACGTCCATGTCCACGTCCAAGTCCTCCACGTCCACGTCCACGTCCATGTCCACGTCCACGTCCACGTCCACGTCCACGCCCACGTCCATGTCCACATCCATGTCCATGTCCACGTCCATGTACACGTCCACGTTCACGTCCACGTCCATGTCCACGTCCAAGTCCTCCACGTCCACGTCCACGTCCATGTCCACGTCCACGTCCACGTCCACGTCCATGTCCACGTCCACGACCACGTCAATGTCCATGTCCACGTCCATGTCCATGCCACGTCCATGTCCACATCCATGTCCACGTCCACGTCCATGTCCACGTCCACGTCCACGTCCATGTCCACGTCTATGTCCACGTCCACGTCCATGTCCACGTCCAAGTCCTCCATGTCCATGTCCACGTCCATGTCCACGTCCACGTCCACGTCCACGTCCATGTCCACGTCCATGTCCATGTCCATGTCCACGTCCACATTCATGTCCACGTCCACGTCCACGTCCACGTCCATGTCCACGTCCATGTCCACGTCCACGTCCACGTCCATGTCTACGTCCATGTCCACGTCCACGTCCACGTTCACGTCCACGTCCACATCCACGTCCATGTCCACGTCCATGTCCACGTCCACGTCCATGTCCATCTCGACATCCACGTCCACGTCCACGTACACGTCCACGACCAGGTCCACATCCACGTGCACGTCCACGACAACGTCCACGTCCACGTCCACGTCCAGTCCACGTCGACGTCCACGTTCACGTCCACGACCGTCCACGTCCACGTCCACGTCCATGTCCACGTCCAAGTCCTCCACGTCCACGTCCACATCCATGTCCACGTCCACGTCCACGTCCATGTCCACGTCCATCTCCACATCCACGTCCATGTCCACGTCCACGTCCACGTCCACGTCCAAGTCCATGTCCACGTCCATGTCCACGTCCACGTCCACGTCCACGTCTATGTCCACGTCCACGTCCACGTCCACGTCTATGTCCACGTCCACGTCCATGTCCACGTCCACGTCCATGTCCACGTCCATGTCCACGTCCATATCCACGTCCATGTCCACGTCCACATCCACGTCTACGTCCACGTCCACGTCCACTTCCATGTCCATGTCCACGTCCACGTCCATGTCCACGTCCAAGTCCTCCACGTCCACGTCCATGTCCACGTCCACGTCCATCTCCACGTCCACGTCCACGTCCACGTCCACCTCCACGTCCACGTCCACGTCCATGTCCACGTCCAAGTCCACGTCCACGTCCATGTCCACGTCCACGTCCATGTCCACGACCACGTCCACGTCCACGTCCACGTCCATGTCCACGTCAACGTCCACGTCCAAGTCTATGTCCAAGTCCATGTCTACGTCCACGTCCACGTCCACGTCCATGTCCACGTCCACATCCATGTCCACGTCCACGTTTACGTCCACGTCCACGTTCACGTCCACGTCTACGTCCACGTCCACGTCCACGTCCATGTCCACGTCCAAGTCCACGTCCACGTCCACGTTCACGACCACGTCCATGTCCACGTCCATGTCCACGTCCATGTCCACGTCCACGACCACGTCCACGTCCACGTCCACGTCCACGTCCACGACAACGTCCACGTCCACGTCCACGTCCACGTCCATGTCCACGTCCATGTCCACGTCCACGTCCATGTCCACGTCCACGTCGACATCCACGTCCACGTCCACGTCCACGTCCACGTCCACGTCCATGTCCACGTCCACGTCCACGTCCATGTCCACGTCCACGTCCACGTCCATGTCCACGTCCACGTCCACGTCCATGTCCACGTCCACGTCCACGTCCACGTCCACGTCCACGTCCATGTCCACGTCTACGTCCACGTCCACGTCCATGTCCACGTCCACGTCCACGTCCACGTCCATGTCCACGTCCATGTCCACGTCCACGTCCACGTCCACATCCACGTCCACGTCCACGTCCATGTCCACGTCCATGTCCACGTCCACGTCCACGACCACGTCCACGTCCACGTCCACGTCCACGACAACGTCCACGTCCACGTCCACGTCCACGTCCACATCCATGTCCACGTCCATGTCCACGTCCACGTCCATGTCCACGTCCACGTCGACATCCATGTCCACGTCCACGACCACGTCCATGTCCACGTCCATGTCCACGTCCATGTCCATGTCCACGACCACGTCCACGTCCACGTCCACGTCCACGACAACGTTCACGTCCACGTCCACGTCCACGTCCATGTCCACGTCCATGTCCACGTCCACGTCCATGTCCACGTCCACGTCGACATCCACGTCCACGTCCACGTCCATGTCCACGTCCACGTCCACGTCCATGTCCACGTCCATGTCCACGTCCACGTCCACGTCCACGTCCATGTCCACGTCCACGTCCACGTCCATGTCCACGTCCACGTCCACGTCCACGTCCACGTCCATGTCCACGTCTACGTCCACGTCCACGTCCATGTCCACGTCCACGTCCACGTCCACGTCCACGTCCACGTCCATGTCCACGTCCACGTCCACGTCCACGTCCACGTCCACGTCCATGTCCACGTCCACGTCCACGTCCATGTCCACGTCCACGTCCACGTCCACGTCCACGTCCATGTCCACGTCTACGTCCACGTCCACGTCCATGTCCACGTCCATGACCACGTCCACGTCCACGTCCACGTCCATGTCCACGTCCATGTCCACGTCCACGTCCACGTCCATGTCCACGTCCACGTCCATGTCCACGTCCATGTCCACGTCCACGTCCACGTCCATGTCCTTGTCCACGTCCATGTCCACGTCCACGTCCACGTCCATGTCCACGTCCATGTCCACGTCTACGTCCACGTCCATGTCCACGTCCACGTCCACGTCCACGTCCACGTCCATGTCCACGTCCACGTCCACGTCCACGTCAAGGTCCATGTCCACGTCCACGTCCATGTCCACGTCCATGTCCACGTCCATGTCCACGTCCACGTCCAGTCCACGTCGACGTCCACGTCCACGTCCAGTCCACGTCTATGTCCACGTCCACGTCCATGTCCACGTCCAAGTCCTCCATGTCCATGTCCACGTCCATGTCCACGTCCACGTCCACGTCCACGTCCATGTCCACGTCCATGTCCATGTCCATGTCCACGTCCACATTCATGTCCACGTCCACGTCCACGTCCACGTCCATGTCCACGTCCATGTCCACGTCCACGTCCACGTCCATGTCTACGTCCATGTCCACGTCCACGTCCACGTTCACGTCCACGTCCACATCCACGTCCATGTCCACGTCCATGTCCACGTCCACGTCCATGTCCATCTCGACATCCACGTCCACGTCCACGTACACGTCCACGACCAGGTCCACATCCACGTGCACGTCCACGACAACGTCCACGTCCACGTCCAGTCCACGTCGACGTCCACGTTCACGTCCACGACCGTCCACGTCCACGTCCACGTCCATGTCCACGTCCAAGTCCTCCACGTCCACGTCCACATCCATGTCCACGTCCACGTCCACGTCCATGTCCACGTCCATCTCCACATCCACGTCCATGTCCACGTCCACGTCCACGTCCACGTCCAAGTCCATGTCCACGTCCATGTCCACGTCCACGTCCACGTCCACGTCTATGTCCACGTCCACGTCCACGTCCACGTCTATGTCCACGTCCACGTCCATGTCCACGTCCACGTCCATGTCCACGTCCATGTCCACGTCCATATCCACGTCCATGTCCACGTCCACATCCACGTCTACGTCCACGTCCACGTCCACTTCCATGTCCATGTCCACGTCCACGTCCATGTCCACGTCCAAGTCCTCCACGTCCACGTCCATGTCCACGTCAACGTCCATCTCCACGTCCACGTCCACGTCCACGTCCACCTCCACGTCCACGTCCACGTCCATGTCCACGTCCAAGTCCACGTCTACGTCCATGTCCACGTCCACGTCCATGTCCACGACCACGTCCACGTCCACGTCCACGTCCATGTCCACGTCAACGTCCACGTCCAAGTCTATGTCCAAGTCCATGTCTACGTCCACGTCCACGTCCACGTCCACGTCCACATCCACGTCCACGTCCACGTTTACGTCCACGTTCACGTCCACGTCTACGTCCACGTCCACGTCCACGTCCATGTCCACGTCCAAGTCCACGTCCACGTCCACGTTCACGACCACGTCCATGTCCACGTCCATGTCCACGTCCATGTCCACGTCCACGTCCACGACCACGTCCACGTCCACGTCCACGTCCACGACAACGTCCACGTCCACGTCCACGTCCACGTCCATGTCCACGTCCATGTCCACGTCCACGTCCATGTCCACGTCCACGTCGACATCCACGTCCACGTCCACGTCCACGTCCACGTCCACGTCCATGTCCACGTCCACGTCCACGTCCATGTCCACGTCCACGTCCACGTCCATGTCCACGTCCACGTCCACGTCCATGTCCACGTCCACGTCCACGTCCACGTCCACGTCCACGTCCATGTCCACGTCTACGTCCACGTCCACGTCCAAGTCCACGTCCACGTCCACGTCCACGTCCACGTCCATGTCCACGTCCACGTCCACGTCCACATCCACGTCCACGTCCACGTCCATGTCCACGTCCATGTCCACGTCCACGTCCACGACCACGTCCACGTCCACGTCCACGTCCACGACAACGTCCACGTCCACGTCCACGTCCACGTCCACATCCATGTCCACGTCCATGTCTACGTCCACGTCCATGTCCACGTCCACGTCGACATCCACGTCCACGTCCACGACCACGTCCATGTCCACGTCCATGTCCACGTCCATGTCCATGTCCACGACCACGTCCACGTCCTCGTCCACGTCCACGACAACGTTCACGTCCACGTCCACGTCCACGTCCATGTCCACGTCCATGTCCACGTCCACGTCCATGTCCACGTCCACGTCGACATCCACGTCCACGTCCACGTCCACGTCCACGTCCATGTCCACGTCCACGTCCACGTCCATGTCCACGTCCATGTCCACGTCCACGTCCACGTCCACGTCCACGTCCACGTCCATGTCCACGTCCACGTTTACGTCCACGTCCACGTTCACGTCCACGTCTACGTCCACGTCCACGTCCACGTCCATGTCCACGTCCAAGTCCACGTCCACGTCCACGTTCACGACCACGTCCATGTCCACGTCCATGTCCACATCCACGTTTACGTCCACGTCCACGTTCACGTCCACGTCCACGTCCACGTTCACGACCACGTCCACGTCCACGTCCACGTCCACGTCCACGTCCACGTCCACGTTTACGTCCACGTCCACGTTCACGTCCACGTCTACGTCCACGTCCACGTCCACGTCCATGTCCACGTCCAAGTCCACGTCCACGTCCACGTTCACGACCACGTCCATGTCCACGTCCATGTCCACGTCCATGTCCACGTCCACGTCCACGACCACGTCCACGTCCACGTCCACGTCCACGACAACGTCCACGTCCACGTCCACGTCCACGTCCATGTCCACGTCCATGTCCACGTCCACGTCCATGTCCACGTCCACGTCGACATCCACGTCCACGTCCACGTCCACGTCCGTCCATGTCCACGTCCACGTCCACGTCCATGTCCACGTCCACGTCCACGTCCATGTCCACGTCCACGTCCACGTCCATGTCCACGTCCACGTCCACGTCCACGTCCACGTCCACGTCCACGTCCATGTCCACGTCTACGTCCACGTCCACGTCCATGTCCACGTCCACGTCCACGTCCACGTCCACGTCCATGTCCACGTCCACGTCCACGTCCACATCCACGTCCACGTCCACGTCCATGTCCACGTCCATGTCCACGTCCACGTCCACGACCACGTCCACGTCCACGTCCACGTCCACGACAACGTCCACGTCCACGTCCACGTCCACGTCCACATCCATGTCCACGTCCATGTCCACGTCCACGTCCATGTCCACGTCCACGTCGACATCCACGTCCACGTCCACGACCACGTCCATGTCCACGTCCATGTCCACGTCCATGTCCATGTCCACGACCACGTCCACGTCCTTGTCCACGTCCACGACAACGTTCACGTCCACGTCCACGTCCACGTCCATGTCCACGTCCATGTCCACGTCCACGTCCATGTCCACGTCCACGTCGACATCCACGTCCACGTCCACGTCCACGTCCACGTCCATGTCCACGTCCACGTCCACGTCCATGTCCACGTCCATGTCCACGTCCACGTCCACGTCCACGTCCATGTCCACGTCCACGTCCACGTCCATGTCCACGTCCACGTCCACGTCCACGTCCACGTCCATGTCCACGTCTACGTCCACGTCCACGTCCATGTCCACGTCCACGTCCACGTCCATGTCCACGTCCACGTCCATGTCCACGTCCATGTCCACGTCCACGTCCACGACCACGTCCACGTCCACGTCCACGTCCACGACAACGTCCACGTCCACGTCCACGTCCACGTCCACATCCATGTCCACGTCCATGTCCACGTCCACGTCCATGTCCACGTCCACGTCGACATCCACGTCCACGTCCACGACCACGTCCATGTCCACGTCCATGTCCACGTCCATGTCCATGTCCACGACCACGTCCACGTCCTCGTCCACGTCCACGACAACGTTCACGTCCACGTCCACGTCCACGTCCATGTCCACGTCCATGTCCACGTCCACGTCCATGTCCACGTCCACGTCGACATCCACGTCCACGTCCACGTCCACGTCCACGTCCATGTCCACGTCCACGTCCACGTCCATGTCCACGTCCATGTCCACGTCCACGTCCACGTCCACGTCCATGTCCACGTCCACGTCCACGTCCATGTCCACGTCCACGTCCACGTCCACGTCCACGTCCATGTCCACGTCTACGTCCACGTCCACGTCCATGTCCACGTCCACGTCCACGTCCACGTCCACGTCCACGTCCATGTCCACGTCTACGTCCACGTCCACGTCCATGTCCACGTCCATGACCACGTCCACGTCCACGTCCACGTCCATGTCCACGTCCATGTCCACGTCCACGTCCACGTCCATGTCCACGTCCACGTCCATGTCGTCCATGTCCACGTCCACGTCCACGTCCATGTCCACGTCCACGTCCATGTCCATGTCCACGTCCACGTCCATGTCCACGTCCATGTCCACGTCTACGTCCACGTCCATGTCCACGTCCACGTCCACGTCCACGTCCATGTCCATGTCCACGTCCACGTCCACGTCCACGTCCACGTCAAGGTCCATGTCCACGTCCACGTCCATGTCCACGTCCATGTCCACGTCCATGTCCACGTCCACGTCCATGTCCACGTCCACGTCCATGTCCACGTCCACGTCCATGTCCACGTCCACGTCCACCTCCACGTCCACCTCCACGTCCACATCCACGTCTACGTCCACGTCCACGTCCACTTCCATGTCCATGTCCACGTCCACGTCCATGTCCACGTCCAAGTCCTCCACGTCCACGTCCATGTCCACGTCCACGTCCATCTCCACGTCCACGTCCACGTCCACGTCCACCTCCACGTCCACGTCCACGTCCATGTCCACGTCCACGTCCATGTCCAAGACCACGTCCACGTCCACGTCCACGTCCACGTCCATGTCCACGTCAACGTCCACGTCCACGTCCATGTCCACGTCCACGTCCACGTCCACGTCCATGTCCACGTCCACGTCCATGTCCACGTCTACGTCCACGTCCACGTCTACGTCCACGTCTACGTCCACGTCCACGTCCACGTCCACGTCCACGTCCATGTCCACGTTCACGTCCATGTCCACGTCCATGTCCACGTCCAAGTCCATGTCCACGTCCATGTCCACGTCCATGTCCACGTCCATGTCCGCGTCCGCGTCCACGACCACGACCACGTCCACGTCCACGTCCACGTCCACGACCACGTCTACGTCCACGTCCACGTCCCTGTCCACGTCCACGTCCACGTCCACGTCCATGTCCACGTCCAAGTCCTCCACGTCCACGTCCATGTCCACGTCCACGTCCATGTCCACGTCCACGTCCACGTCCATGTCCACATTCATGTCCACGTCCATGTCCACGTCCACGTCCATGTCCATGTCCACGTCCAAGTCCTCTGCGTCCACGTCCACGTCCATGTCCACGTCCACGTCCACATCCACGTCCACGTCAACGTCCACGTCCACGTCCATGTCCACGTCCACGTCCACGTCCATGTCCACGTCCATGTCCACGTCCACGTCCATGTCCACGTCCATGTTGACGTCCACGTCCACGTCCATGTCCACGTCCACGTCCATGTCTATGTCCATGTCCACCTCGACGTCCACGTCCACGTCCATGTCCACGTCCAACTCCACGTCCACGTTCATGTCCATGTCCACGTCCATGTCCACGTCCATGTCCACGTCCATGTCCACATCCACGTCCACGTCCACGTCCACGACCATGTCCACGTGCACGTCCACGTCCATGTCCATGTCCACGTCCACGTCCACGTCCACGACCATGTCCACGTCCACGTCCATGACCACGTCCACGTCCACGTCTACGTCCATGTCCACGTCCACGTCCACGTCCATGTCCACGTCCATGTCCACGTCCACGTCCATGTCCACGTCCACGTCAACGTCCACGTCCACATCCACGTCTAGGTCCATGTCCACGTACACGTCCACGTCTACGTCCACGTCCATGTCCACGTCCACGTCCATGTCTACGTCCATGTCCACGTCCATGTCCACGTCCACGTCCACGTCAATGTCCACGTCCACGTCCAAGTCCATGTCCACGTCCACGTCCACGTCCATGTTTACGTCCACGTCCACGTCCACGTTCATGTCCACGTTTATGTCCACGTCCATGTCCACGTCCATGTCCACGTCCACGTCCATGTCCACGTCCATGTCCACGTCCATGTCCACGTCCACGTCAACGTCCATGGACGTGGAGGACTTGGACGTGGACGTGGACTATACGTGGACGTGGACGTGGACATGGACGTTGATGTGGACGTGGACGTCGTCGTGGACATGGACGTGGACATGGACGTGGATGTAGACATGGACGCGGACATGGACGTGGACCTGGACGTGGACATGGACGTGGACGTGGACGTAGACGTGGACATGAACGTGGACATGGACGTGGACGTGGACATTGACGTGGACGTGGACGTGGACGTGGACATGGACGTGGACGTGGACGTGGACGTGGACGTGGATATGGACATGGTCGTGGACGTGGACGTGGACGTGGACATGGACGTGGACATGGACGTGGATATGGACGTGGACATGGACATGGACGTGGACGTGGACTTGGACGTGGACATGGACGTGGATGTGGACGTGGAGGTGGACATGGATGTGGACATGGACGTGGACGTGGACGTGGACATGGACGTGGTCGTGGATGTTGACGTGGATGTGGACATGTATGTGGACGTGGACGTGGACATGGACGTGGACATGGACGTGGACGTGGACATGGACGTGGACGTGGATGTGGACGTGGACATGGACGTGGATGTGGATGTGCAAGTGGACATGGACGTGGACGTGGATGTGGACGTGGACGTGGACGTGGACGTGGACGTCGACATGGACGTGAACGTGGACGTTTACGTTGACATGGACGTGGACATGGACGTGAACGTGGACGTGGACGTGGAGGACTTGGACATGGACATGGACGTAGACGTGGATATGGACGTGGACATGGACGTGGACATGGACATGGACGTGGACGTGGTCCTGGACGTTGACATGGACGTGGACGTGGACATGGACGTGGAGGACTTGGACGTGGACATGGATGTGGACGTGGACGTGGCAAGGACGTGGACATGGACGTGGACATGGACGTGGACATGGACGTGGACGTGGACGTGGAGGACTTGGACGTGGACGTGGACGTAGACGTGGACGTGGACATTGACGTGGACGTGGAGGAATTGGACATGGACATGGACGTGGACGTGGACGTGGACATGGACGTGGACATGGACGTGGACATGGACGTGGACTTGGACATGGACGTGGACATGGACGTGGACGTGGACGTGGATGTGGACGTGGACGTGGACGTGGACATGGACGTGGACGTGGACGTAGACGTGGACATGGACATGGACGTGGACGTGGACATGGACGTGGACGTGGAGGACTTGGACGTGGACATGGACGTGGACGTGGAAGTGGACGTGGACATGGACGTGGACATGGAAGTGGACGTGGACATGGAATTGGACGTGGACATGGACGTAGACATGGACGTGGACATGGACGTGGACGTGGACGTGGACGTGGACGTGGACATGGACGTGGACGTGGATGTGGACATGGACGTGGTCGTGGATGTGGACGTGGACGTGGACGTGGAGGACTTGGACGTGGACATGGATGTGGACGTGGACGTGGACGTGGACATGGAGGACATGGACGTGGACGTGGACGTGGAGGACTTGGACGTGGACGTGGACGTGGACGTGGACGTGGACATGGACGTGGACATGGACGTGGACGTGGACGTGGACCTGGACATGGACGTAGACATGGACGTGGACATGGACATGGACGTGGACGTGGACGTGGACGTGGACATGGACGTGGATGTAGACGTGGACGTGGACATGGACGTGGACGTGGACGGGGACGTGGACGTGGACGTGGACGTGTACGTGGACATGGACGTGGACGTGGACGTGGACATGGACGTGGACATGAACGTGGACGTGGACGTAGACATGGACGTGGACGTGGACGTGGACATGGACGTGGACGTGGACGTGGACATGGACGTGGACGTGGACCTGGACGTGGACATGGACGTGGACGTAGACGTGGACATGGACGTGGATGTGGACGTGGAGGAATTGGAGGTGGACGTGGACGTGGACGTGGACATGGACGTGGACGTGGACGTGGACGTGGACGTGGACATGGACGTGGACATGAACGTGGACATGGACGTGGACGTGGACATGGACGTGGACGTGGACATGGACGTGGACATGGACATGGACGTGGACATGGACGTGGACGTGGACGTGGACGTCGACATGGACGTGGACATGGACGTGGACGTGGACGTGGACGTGGACATGGACGTCGACATGGACGTGGACGTGGACGTGGACGTAGACATGGACGTGGACGTAGACGTGGGCGTGGACGTGGACATGGACGTGGACGTAGACGTGGATGTGGACGTGAACGTAAACGTGGACGTGGACGTGGACGTGGACGTGGACGTGGACGTGAACGTGGACGTGGACGTGGACGTGGACATGGACGTGAACGTGGACATGGACGTGGACATGGACGTGGACTTCGACATGGATGTGGACGTGGACGTGGACGTGGACGTGGACATGGACGTAGACGTGGACGTGGACATGGACGTGGACATGGACGTGGACGTGGACGTGGAGGACGTGGACGTGGACATGGACGTGGACGTGGACGTGGACTTGGACGTGGACTTGGACGTGGATGTGGACGTGGACATGGACATGGACGTGGACATGGACGTGGACATGGACGTGGACATGGACGTGGACATGGACGATGGACGTGGACATGGACGTGGACGTGGACATGGACGTGGACATGGACGTGGACGTGGACGTGGACGTGGATGTGGACATGGACGTGGACGTGGACGTGGACATGGACGTGGACGTCAACATGGACGTGGACGTGGACTTGGAGGACTTGGAAGTGGACGTGGACGTGGACGTGGACATGGACGTGGACATGGACGTGGACATGGACATGGACGTGGACATGGACGTGGACATGGACGTGGACATGGACATGGACGTGGACGTGGACGTGGACGTGGACATGGACGTGGACGTGGACGTGGACGTGGACATGGACGTGGATGTGGACGTGGACGTGGACATGAACGTGGACGTGAACGTGGACGTGGACGTGGACATAGACGTGGACGTGGATGTGGACGGGGACGTGGACGTGGACGTGGATGTGGACATGGACGTGGACATCGACGTCGACGTGGACGTGGACGAGGACGTGGACGTGGACGTGGACGTGGACGTGGACATGGACGTGGACGTGGACGTGGACGTTGACATGGACGTCGACGTGGATGTGGACGTTGACATGGACGTCGACGTGGACATGGACATGGACATGGACATGGACATGGACGTGGACGTGGTTGTGGACGTGGACGTGGACGTGGACATGGACGTGGACATGGACGTAGAGGACTTGGACGTGGACATGGACGTGGACGTGGACATGGACGTGGACATGGACATGGACATGGACATGGACGTGGACATGGACGTGGACACGGACGTGGACGTGGACGTGGACGTGGACATGGACGTGGACGTGGACGTGGACATGGACGTGGACGTGGACGTGGACGTGGACATGGATGTGGACATGGATGTGGACGTGAACGTGGACGTGGACGTGGACATGGACGTGGACGTGGAGGTGGACGGGGACGTGGACGTGGACGTGGACGTGGACATGGACGTGGACGTGGACGTGGACATGGACGTTGACATGAACGTGGACGTGGACATGGACGTGGACGTGGACGTGGACATGGACGTGGACGTGGACGTGGACGTGGACATGGACGTGGACGTGGACCTGGACGTGGACATGGATGTGGACGTGGACGTGGACATGGACGTGGACGTGGACGTGAAGGACTTGGAAGTGGACATGGACATGGACGTGGACGTGGATGTAGACGTGGAGGTGGACGTGGACATGGACATGGACGTGGACATGGACATGGACATGGACGTGGACGTGGACGTGGATGTGGACGTGGACGTGGACGTAGAGGTGGACGTGGACGTGGACGTGGACATGGACGTGGACGTGGACATGGACGTGGACATGGACATAGACGTGGACATGGACATGGACATGGTCATGGACGTGGACATGGACATAGACGTGGACATGGACATGGACGTGGACATGGACATGGACGTGGACATGGACGTGGACGTGGACATGGACGTGGACGTGGACATGGACATGGACGTGATGGACATGGACGTGGACATGGACGACATGGACATGGACGTGGACATGGACATGGACGTGGACATGGACATGGACGTGGACATGGACGTGGACATGGACGTAGACGTGGACGTGGACGTGGACGTGGACGTGGACATGGACGTGGACATGGACATGGACGTGGACATGGACATGGACGTGGACATGGACATGGACATGGACATGGACGTGGACATGGACATAGACGTGGACATGGACGTGGACATGGACGTGGACGTGGACGTGGACGTGGACGTAGACATGGACGTGGACGTGGACATGGACGTGGACATGGACGTGGACATGGACATGGACGTGGACGTGGACGTGGACGTGGACGTGGACGTGGACGTGGACGTGGATGTGGACGTGGACGTGGACGTAGACGTGGACGTGGACGTGGACGTGGACATGGACGTGGACGTGGACATGGACGTGGACATGGACATAAACGTGGACATGGACATGGACGTGGACGTGGACGTGGATGTGGACGTGGACGTGGACGTAGACGTGGACGTGGACGTGGACGTGGACATGGACGTGGACGTGGACATGGACGTGGCATGGACATAGACGTGGACATGGACATGGACATGGTCATGGACGTGGACATGGACATAGACGTGGACATGGACTAGGACGTGGACATGGACATGGACGTGGACATGGACGTGGACGTGGACATGGACATGGACGTGGACATGGACATGGACGTGGACATGGACGTGGACATGGACATGGACGTGGACATGGACATGGACGTGGACATGGACATGGACGTGGACATGGACGTGGACATGGACGTAGACGTGGACGTGGACGTGGACATGGACGTGGACATGGACATGGACGTGGACATGGACATGGACGTGGACATGGACATGGACGTGGACATGGACGTGGACATGGACGTGGACGTGGACGTGGACGTGGACGTGGACATGGACGTGGACATGGACATGGACGTGGACATGGACATGGACGTGGACATGGACATGGACATGGTCATGGACGTGGACATGGACATAGACGTGGACATGGACATGGACGTGGACATGGACATGGACGTGGACATGGACGTGGACGTGGACATGGACATGGACGTGGACATGGACATGGACGTGGACATGGACGTGGACATGGACTTGGACATGGACATGGACGTGGACATGGACATGGACGTGGACATGGACATGGACGTGGACATGGACGTCGACATGGACGTAGACGTGGACGTGGACGTGGACGTGGACGTGGACATGGACGTGGACGTGGACGTGGACGTGGACATGGACGTGGAGGTGTACGTAGACGTGGACATGGACGTGGACGTGGACGTGGACATGGACGTGGACGTGGACGTGGACATGGACGTGGACATGGACATGGACGTGGACATGAACGTGGACGTGGACGTGGACGTAGACATGGACGTGGACATGGACGTGGACATGCACGTGGACGTGGACATGGACGTGGACGTGGACATGGACGTGGACCTGGACGTGGACATGGACGTGGACGTGGACGTGGACATGGACGTGGACGTGGACGTGGACGTGTACGTGGACGTGGACATGGACATGGACATGGACATGGACGTGGACATGGACATGGACGTGGACATGGACATGGACGTGGACATGGACATGGACGTGGACATGGACATGGACATGGACATGGACGTTGACATGGACATGGACGTGGACATGGACATGGATGTGGACATGGACATGGACGTGGACATGGACGTGGACATGGACGTAGACGTGGACGTGGACGTGGACGTGGACATGGACATGGACATGGACGTGGACGTGGACATGGACGTGGACATGGACATGGACGTGGACATGGACGTGGACATGGACGTGGACATGGACATGGACGTGGACATGGACGTGGACATGGACATGGACGTGGACATGGACATGGACGTGGACATGGACATGGACATGGACATGGACGTGGACATGGACATAGACGTGGACATGGACATGGATGTGGACATGGATATGGACGTGGACATGGACGTGGACATGGACGTAGACGTGGACGTGGACGTGGACGTGGACATGGACGTGGACGTGGACATGGACGTGGACATGGACATGGACGTGGACATGGACGTGGACATGGACGTGGACGTGGACGTGGACGTGGACGTAGACATGGACGTGGACGTAGACATGGACGTGGACGTAGACATGGACGTGGACGTAGACATGGACGTGGACATGGACGTGGACATGGACGTGGACATCGACGTGGACGTGGACATGGACGTGGACATGGACGTGGACGTGGACATGGACGTGGACATGGACGTGGACATGGACGTGGACATGGATGTGGACGTAGACGTGGACATGGACGTGGACATGGACGTGGACATGGACGTGGACGTGGACATGGACATGGACATGGACGTGGACATGGACGTGGACATGGACGTAGACGTGGACGTGGACGTGGACATGGACGTGGACGTGGACATGGACGTGGACATGGACATGGACGTGGACATGGATGTGGACATGGACGTGGACATGGACATGGACGTGGACATGGACGTGGACATGGACGTGGACGTGGACATGGACATGGACGTGGACATGGACATGGACATGGACATGGACGTGGACATGGACATGGACGTGGACATGGACATGGACGTGGACATGGACATGGACGTGGACATGGACGTGGACATGGACGTAGACGTGGACGTGGACGTGGACGTGGACATGGACGTGGACGTGGACATGGACGTGGACATGGACATGGACGTGGACATGGACGTGGACATGGACGTGGACGTGGACGTAGACAGGAACGTGGACATGGACGTGGACATGGACGTGGACGTGGACATGGACGTGGACATGGACGTGGACATGGACGTGGACGTGGACATGGACGTGGACGTGGACATGGACGTGGACATGGACGTGGACATGGACATGTACATGGACGTGGATGTGGACGTGGACATGGACGTGGACATGGACGTGGACATGGACGTGGACTTGGACATGGACATGGACGTGGACATGGACGTGGACATGGACGTGGACGTGGATGTGGACGTGGACATGGACGTGGACGTGGACATGGATTGGACGTGGACGTGGACATGGATTGGACGTGGACGTGGACGTGGACGTGGACGTGGACATGGACGTGGACGTGGACGTGGTCGTGGACATGGACGTGGACGTGGACGTGGACATGGACGTGGACGTGGATGTGGAGGACTTGGACGTGGACATGGACATGGACGTGGACGTGGACGTGGACGTGGACATGGACGTGGACATGGACGTGGACATGGACGTGGACGTGGATGTGGACATGGACGTGGACGTGGACGTGGACATGGACGTGGACGTGGACGTCGACATGGACGTGGACGTGGACTTGGAGGACTTGGACGTGGACGTGGACGTGGACATGGACGTGGACATGGACGTGGACATGGACATGGATGTGGACATGGACGTGGACATGGACGTGGATATGGACGTGGACATGGACGTGGACGTGGACGTGGACATGGACGTGGACGTGGACGTGGACATGGACGTGGACGTGGACGTGGACATGGACGTGGACGTGGACGTGGACGTGGACGTGGACATGAACGTGGACGTGAACGTGGACGTGGACGTGGACATAGACGTGGACGTGGATGTGGACGGGGACGTGGACGTGGACGTGGATGTGGACATGGACGTGGACATGGACGTGCACGTGGACGTGGACGAGGACGTGGACGTGGACGTGTACGTGGACGTGGACGTGGACATGGACGTGGACGTGGACGTGGACGTTGACATGGACGTGGACGTGGACATGGACATGGACATGGACGTGGACATGGACGTGGACGTGGTTGTGGACGTGGACGTGGACGTGGACATGGACGTGGACATGGACGTGGAGGACTTGGACGTGGACATAGACGTGGACGTGGACGTGGACGTGGACATGGACGTGGACATGGACATGTACATGGACGTGGACATGGACGTGGACACGGACGTGGACGTGGACGTGGACATGGACGTGGACGTGGACGTGGACATAGACGTGGACGTCGCCGTGGACGTGGACATGGATGTGGACATGGATGTGGACGTGAACGTGGACGTGGACGTGGACATGGACGTGGACGTGGAGGTGGACGGGGACGTGGACGTGGACGTGGACATGGACGTGGACGTGGACATGGACGTGGACATGAACGTGGACGTGGACGTGGACATGGACGTGGACGTGGACGTGGACATGGACGTGGACGTGGACGTGGACATGGACGTGGACGTGGACCTGGACGTGGACATGGATGTGGACGTGGACGTGGACATGGACGTGGACGTGGACGTGAAGGACTTGGAAGTGGACATGGACATGGACGTGGACGTGGACGTGGACGTAGACGTGGATGTGGACGTGGACATGGACATGGACGTGGACATGGACGTGGACATGGACGTGGACGTGGACGTGGACGTGGTTGTAGACGTGGCATGGACGTGGACGTAGACGTGGACGTGGACGTGGACATGGACGTGGACGTGGACATGGACGTGGACAAGGACATGGACGTGGACATGGACGTGGACATCGACGTGGACGTGGACGTGGACGTGGACATGGACGTGGACATGGACATGGACGTGGACATGGACATGGACGTGGACATGGACATAGACATGGACATGGACGTGGACATGGACATGGACGTGGACATGGACATGGACGTGGACATGGACATGGACGTGGACATGGACATGGACGTGGACATGGACGTGGACATGGACGTAGACGTGGACGTGGACGTGGACGTGGACATGGACGTGGACGTGGACATGGACGTGGACGTGGACATGGACGTGGACATGGACGTGGACGTGGACGTGGACGTGGACGTAGAAAGGGACGTGGACATGGACGTGGACATGGACGTGGACATCGACGTGGACGTGGACATGGACGTGGATATGGACGTGGACGTAGACATGGACGTGGACATGGACGTGGACATGGACGTGGACATGGACGTGGACGTAGACGTGGACATGGACGTGGACATGGACGTGGACATGGACGTGGACGTGGACATAGACATGGACATGGACGTGGACATGGACGTGGACATGGACGTAGATGTGGACGTGGACGTGGACGTGGACGTGGACGTGGACGTGGACATGGACGTGGACGTGGACATGGACGTGGACATGGACATGGACGTGGACATTGACGTGGACATGGACGTGGACATGGACATGGACGTGGACATGGACGTGGACATGGACATGGACGTGGACATGGACATGGACGTGGACATGGACATGGACATGGACGTAGACATGGACATGGACGTGGACATGGACATGGACGTGGACATGGACATGGATGGGACATGGACGTGGACATGGACGTAGACGTGGACGTGGACGTGGACGTGGACATGGACGTGGACGTAGACATGGACGTGGACATGGACGTGGACATGAACGTGGACATCGACGTGGACGTGGACATGGACGTTGACATGGACGTGGACGTGGACATGGACATGGACGTGGACATGGACATGTACATGGACGTGGACATGGACGTGGACACGGACGTGGACGTGGACGTGGACGTGGACATGGACGTGGACGTGGACGTGGACATGGACGTGGACGTGGACGTGGACATGGATGTGGACATGGATGTGGACGTGAACGTGGACGTGGACGTGGACATGGACGTGGACGTGGAGGTGGAAGGGGACGTGGACGTAGACGTGGACGTGGACGTGGACATGGACGTGGACGTGGACGTGGACGTGGACGTGGACATGAACGTGGACGTGGACGGTCGTGGACATGGACGTGGACGTGGACGTGGACATGGACGTGGACGTGGACGGTCGTGGACATGGACGGTCGTGGACGTGGACCTGGACGTGGACATAGATGTGGACGTGGACGTGGACATGGACGTGGACGTGGACGTGAAGGACTTGGAAGTGGACATGGACATGGACGTGGACGTGGACGTAGACGTGGACGTGGACGTGGACATGGACATGGACGTGGACATGGACGTGGACATGGACGTGGACGTGGACGTGGACGTGGACGTAGACATGGACGTGGACATGGACGTGGACATGGTCGTGGACGTGGACATGGACGTGGACGTGGACATGGACGTGGACGTGGACGTGGACATGGACGTGGACGTGGACGTGGACGTGGATGTGGACATGGACGTGGACGTGGACGTGGACGTGGACGTGTACGTGGACGTGGACGTTGACGTGGACGTGGACGTGGACGTGGACATGGACATGGACGTGGACATGGACATGGACGTGGACATGGACATGGACGTGGACTTGGACATGGACATGGACGTGGACATGGACATGGACGTGGACATGGACATGGACGTGGACATGGACATGGACGTGGACATGGACATGGACATGGACGTCGACATGGACGTGGACGTGGACATGAACGTGGACGTGGACGTGGACGTAGACATGGACGTGGACATGGACGTGGACATGGACGTGGACGTGGACATGGACGTGGACGTGGACATGGACGTGGACGTGGACGTGGACATGGACGTGGACGTGGACGTGGACGTGGACGTGGACATGGACGTGGACGTGGACGTGGACGTGGACGTGTACGTGGACGTGGACGTTGACGTGGATGTGGACGTGGACATGGACGTGGATGTGGACGTGGACATGGACGTGGACGTGAACGTGGACGTGGACATGGACATGGACGTGGACGTGGACGTAGACGGGGACATGGACGTGGAGGTGGACGTGGACGTGGACGTGGACGTGGACGTGGACATGGACGTCGACGTGGACGTGGACATGGACGTGGACGTGGACATGGACATGGACATGGACCTGGACGTGGAAGTGGACGTGGACGTGGACGTGGACATGGACGTGGATGTGGACATGGACATGGACGTGGACGTGGACATGGACGTGGACGTGGACGAAGACATGGACGTGGACGTGGACGTGGACATGGACGTGGACGTGGACGTGGACATGGACGTGGACGTTGACGTGGAGGACTTGGACGTGGACGTGGACATGGACGTGGATATGGACGTGGACGTGGACGTGGACATGGACGAGGACGTGGACATGGACGTGGATGGACGTGGACATGGACGTGGACATGGACATGGACGTGGACGTGGACATGGACGTGGACGTGGACGTGGACATGGACGTGAACGTGGACGTGGACGCGGACGTGGACGTGTACGTGGACGTGGACATGGACGTGGACGTGAACATGGACATGGACGAAGACATGGACGTAGACGTGGACGGGGACGTGGACGTGGACGTGGACGTGGACATGGACGTGGACGAGGACATGGCCGTGGACGTGGACGTGGACATGGACGTGGACGTGGACGTGGACGTGGACGTGGACATGGACGTGGACGTGGACGTGGACGTGGACATGGACGTGGACGTGGTCATGGACGTGGACATGGACATGGACGTGGACATGGACGTGGACGTGGACATGGACGTGGACGTGGACATGGACGTGGACGTGGACATGGACGTGGACGTGGACATGGACGTGGACGTGGATGTGGACGTGGAGGTGGACGTGGACGTGGACGTGGATATGGACATGGACGCGGACGTGGACGTGGACGTGAATGTGGACGTGGACGTGGACATGGACGTGGACGTGGACATGGATGTGGACATGGACGTGGACGTGGACGTGGACGTGGACCTGGACGTGGACGTGGACATGGACGTGGACATGGACGTGGACATGGACGTGGACGTGGACATGGACGAGGACGTGGACGTGGACATGGACGTGGACGTGGACGTGGACATGGACGTGGACGTGGACATGGACGTGGACGTGGATATGGACGTGGACGTGGACGTGGACGTAGACGTGGACATGGACGTGGACGTGGAGGACTTGGACGTGGACATGGACGTGGACGTGGACGTGGACGTGGACGTGGACATGGACGTGGTCGTTGACGTGGACGTGGACATGGACGTGGACATGGTCGTGGACGTGGACATGGTCGTTGACGTGGACGTGGACGTGGACATGGACGTGGACGTGGACGTGGACGTGGATGTGGACATGGTCGTGGACGTGGACGTGGACGTGGACATGGACGTGGACATGGACGTGGACATGGACGTGGACATGGACATGGACGTGAACGTGGACATGGACGTGGACATGGACGTGGACGTGGACATGGAGGTGGACATGGACGTGGACATGGACGTAGACGTGGACGTGGACATGGACGTGGACATCGACGTGGACGTGGAGGACTTGGAGGTGGACTTGGACGTGGACGTGGACGTGGACATGGACGTGGACATGGACGTGGACATGGACGTGGACATGGACGTGGACATGGACGTGGACGTGGACGTGGAGGACTTGGACGTGGACATGGACATGGACGTGGACGTGGACGTGGACATGGACGTGGACATGGACGTGGACATGGACGTGGATATGGACGTGGACATGGACGTGGACATGGACGTGGACGTGGACGTGGACGTGGACATGGACGTGGACGTGGACGTGGACATGGACGTGGACGTGGACGTGGACATGGACGTGGACGTGGACGTGGACATGGACGTGGACGTGGACGTGGACGTGGACGTTGACGTGGACGTGGACGTGGACATGGACGTGGACGTGGACGTGGACGTGGATGTGGACATGGTCGTGGACGTGGACGTGGACGTGGACATGGACGTGGACATGGAAGTGGACATGGACGTGGACATGGACATGGACGTGAACGTGGACATGGACGTGGACATGGACGTGGACGTGGACATGGAGGTGGACATGGACGTGGACATGGACGTGGACGTGGACGTGGACATGGACGTTGACATCGACGTGGACGTGGAGGACTTGGACGTGGACTTGGACGTGGACGTGGACGTGAACATGGACGTGGACATGGACGTGGACATGGACGTGGACATAGACGTGGACATGGACGTGGATATGGACGTGGACATGGACGTGGACATGGACGTGGACGTGGACGTGGACGTGGACGTGGACGTGGACGTGGACGTTGACATGGACATGGACGTGGACATGGACTTGGACATGGACGTGGACATGGACATGGACGTGAACGTGGACATGGACGAGGACATGGACGTGGACGTGGACATGGAGGTGGACATGGACGTGGACATGGACGTGGACGTGGACGTGGACATGGACGTGGACATCGACGTGGACGTGGAGGACTTGGAGGTGGACTTGGACGTGGACGTGGACGTGGACATGGACGTGGACATGGACGTGGACATGGACGTGGACATGGACGTGGACATGGACGTGGACGTGGACGTGGAGGACTTGGACGTGGACATGGACATGGACGTGGACGTGGACATGGACGTGGACATGGACGTGGACATGGACGTGGATATGGACGTGGACATGGACGTGGACATGGACGTGGACGTGGACGTGGACGTGGACGTGGACGTGGACATGGACGTGGACGTGGACGTGGACATGGACGTGGACGTGGATGTGGACATGGACGTGGACGTGGACGTGGACATGGATGTGGACGTGGACGTGGACGTGGACGTTGACGTGGACGTGGACGTGGACATGGACTTGGACGTGGACGTGGATGTGGACATGGTCGTGAACGTGGACGTGGACGTGGACATGGACGTGGATCTGGACATGGACGTGGACGTGGACGTGGACATGGACGTGGACGTGGACGTGGATGTGGACCTGGACATGGACGTTGACATGGACGTGGACATGGACGTGGACATGGACGTGGACGTGGACGTGGACATGGACGTGGACATGGACGTGGACATGGACGTGGACGTGGACGTGGAGGACTTGGACGTGGACATGGACATGGACGTGGACGTGGACATGGACGTGGACATGGACGTGGACATGGACGTGGACATGGACGTGGACGTGGACGTGGAGGACTTGGACGTGGACATGGACATGGACGTGGACGTGGACATGGACGTGGACATGGACGTGGACATGGACGTGGATATGGACGTGGACATGGACGTGGACATGGACGTGGACGTGGACGTGGACGTGGACGTGGACGTGGACATGGACGTGGACGTGGACGTGGACATGGACGTGGACGTGGATGTGGACATGGACGTGGACGTGGACGTGGACATGGATGTGGACGTGGACGTGGACGTGGACGTTGACGTGGACGTGGACGTGGACATGGACTTGGACGTGGACGTGGATGTGGACATGGTCGTGAACGTGGACGTGGACGTGGACATGGACGTGGACATGGACGTGGACATGGACGTGGACATGGACATGGACGTGAACGTGGACATGGACGTGGACATGGACGTGGACGTGGACATGGAGGTGGACATGGACGTGGACATGGACGTGGACGTGGACGTGGACATGGACGTGGACATCGACGTGGACGTGGAGGACTTGGACGTGGACTTGGACGTGGACGTGGACGTGAACATGGACGTGGACATGGACGTGGACATGGACGTGGACATAGACGTGGACATGGACGTTGACGTGGACGTGGAGAACTTGGACGTGGACATGGACATGGACGTGGACGTGGACATGGACGTGGACATGGACGTGGACATGGACGTGGACATGGACGTGGACATGGACGTGGACATGGACGTGGACGTGGACGTGGACGTGGACGTGGACATGGACGTGGACGTGGACGTGGACATGGACGTGGACGTGGACATGGACGTGGACGTGGACGTGGACGCGGACGTGGACATGGACGTGGACATGGACGTGGACGTGGACATGAACGTGGACGTGGACGTGGACGTAGACATGGACGTGGACATGGACGTGGACATGGACGTGGACGTGGACATGGACGTGGACGTGGACGTGGACTTGGACGTGGACGTGGACGTGGACATGGACGTGGACGTGGACGTGGACATGGACGTGGACGTGGACGTGGACATGGACGTGGACGTGGACGTAGACATGGACATGGACGTGGACGTAGATGTGGACATGGACGTGGACGTGGACGTGGACGTGGACATGGACGTGGACATGGACGTGGACGTGGACATGAACGTGGACGTGGACGTGGACGTAGACATGGACGTGGACATGGACGTGGACATGGACGTGGACGTGGACGTGGACATGGACGTGGACATGGACGTGGACATGGACGTGGACGTGGACGTGGACGTGGACATGGACGTGGATGTGGATGTGGACGTGGACGTGTACATGGACGTGGACATGGACGTGGACATGGACGTGGACGTGGACGTGGACGTGGACATAGACGTGGACGTGGACGTGGACGTGGAGGACTTGGACGTGGACATGGACGTGGACGTGGACGTGGACGTTGAGGACTTGGACGTGGACATGGACGTGGACGTGGACGTGGATGTGGACGTGGACATGGACGTGGTCGTGGACGTGGACGTGGACGTGGACGTGGACATGGTCGTGGACGTGGACATGGTCGTTGACGTGGACGTGGACGTGGACATGGACGTGGACGTGGACGTGGACGTGGATGTGGACATGGTCGTCGACGTGGACGTGGACGTGGACATGGACGTGGACATGGATGTGGACATGGACGTGGACATGGACATGGACGTGAACGTGGACATGGACGTGGACATGGACGTGGACGTGGACATGGAGGTGGACATGGACGTGGACATGGACGTGGACGTGGATATGGACGTGGACATCGACGTGGACGTGGAGGACTTGGAGGTGGACTTGGACGTGGACTTGGACGTGGACATGGACGTGGACATGGACGTGGACATGGACGTGGACATGGACGTGGACATGGACGTGGACGTGGACGTGGAGGACTTGGACGTGGACATGGACATGGACGTGGACGTGGACGTGGACATGGACGTGGACATGGACGTGGACATGGACGTGGATATGGACGTGGACATGGACGTGGACATGGACGTGGACATGGACGTGGACGTGGACATGGACGTGGACGTGGACGTGGACGTAGACATGGACGTGGACATGGACGTGGACATGGACGTGGACGTGGACGTGGACATGGACGTGGACATGGACGTGGACATGGACGTGGACGTGGACGTGGACGTGGACATGGACGTGGACGTGGATGTGGACGTGGACGTGTACATGGACGTGGACATGGACGTGGACATGGACGTGGACGTGGACGTGGACGTGGACATAGACGTGGACGTGGACGTGGACGTGGAGGACTTGGACGTGGACATGGACGTGGACGTGGACGTGGACATTGAGGACTTGGACGTGGACATGGATGTGGACGTGGACGTGGATGTGGACGTGGACATGGACGTGGTCGCGGACGTGGACGTGGACGTGGACGTGGACATGGTCGTGGACGTGGACATGGTCGTTGACGTGGACGTGGACGTGGACATGGACGTGGACGTGGACGTGGACGTGGATGTGGACATGGTCGTCGACGTGGACGTGGACGTGGACATGGACGTGGACATGGATGTGGACATGGACGTGGACATGGACATGGACGTGAACGTGGACATGGACGTGGACATGGATGTGGACGTGGACATGGAGGTGGACATGGACGTGGACATGGACGTGGACGTGGATATGGACGTGGACATCGACGTGGACGTGGAGGACTTGGAGGTGGACTTGGACGTGGACGTGGACGTGGACATGGACGTGGACATGGACGTGGACATGGACGTGGACATGGACGTGGACATGGACGTGGACGTGGACGTGGAGGACTTGGACGTGGACATGGACATGGACGTGGACGTGGACGTGGACATGGACGTGGACATGGACGTGGACATGGACGTGGATATGGACGTGGACATGGACGTGGACATGGACGCGGACGTGGACGTGGACGTGGACATGGACGTGGACGAGGACGTGGACATGGACGTGGACGTGGACGTGGACATGGACGTGGACGTGGATGTGGACGTGGACGTGGACGTTGACGTGGACGTGGACGTGGACGTGGACGTGGATGTGGACATGGTCGTGGACGTGGACGTAGACGTGGACATGGACGTGGACATAGACGTGGACATGGACGTGGACGTTGACGTGGACGTGGACGTGGACGTTGACGTGGACATGGACGTGGACGTGGACGTGGACGTGGACATGGACGTGGACGTGGACGTGGACATGGACGTGGACGTGGACGTGGTTGGGACATGGACGTGGACGTGGACGTGGACATGGACGTGGACGTGGACGTGGACGTGGACATGGACGTGGACATGGACGTGGACGTGAACGTGGACATGGATGTGGACGTAGACATGGACGTGGACATGGACGTGGACATGGACGTGGACGTGGACATGGACGTGGACGTGGACGTAGACATGGACGTGGACGTGGACGTGGACATGGACGTGGACGTGGACGTGGACGTGGACATGGACGTGGACATGGACGTGGACGTGGACGTGGACGTGGACATGGACGTGGACGTGGACGTGGACGTGGACGTGGACGTGGACGTGGACATGGACGTGGACATGGACGTGGACGTGGACGTGGACGTGGACATGGACGTGGACATGGACGTGGACGTGGACGTGGAGGACTTGGACGTGGACATGGACGTGGACGTGGACATGGTCGTGGACGTGGACGTGGACGTGGACGTGGACATGGTCGTGGACGTGGACGTGGAAGTGGACATGGACGTGGACGTGGACGTGGACGTGGACATGGTCGTGGACGTGGACGTGGACGTGGACATGGACGTGGACATGGACGTGGACGTGGACGTGGACGTGGACATGGTCGTGGACGTGGACGTGGACGTGGACGTGGACATGGTCGTGGACGTGGACGTGGAAGTGGACATGGACGTGGACGTGGACGTGGACGTCGACATGGTCGTGGACGTGGACATGGACATGGACATGGACGTGGACATGGACGTGGACATGGACGTGGACATGGGCGTGGATATGGACGTGGACATGGACGTGGACGTGGACGTGGACGTGGACGTGGACGTGGACATGGACGTGGACATGGACATGGACGTGGACATGGACGTGGACGTGGATGTGGACGTCGACATGGACATGGACGTGGACATGGACGTGGACGTGGACGTGGACATGGACGTGGACATGGACGTGGACATGGACGTGGACGTGGACATGGACGTGGATATGGACGTGGACATGGACGTGGACATGGACATGGACGTGGACGTGGACATGGACGTGGAGGTGGACATGGACGTGGACGTGGACATGGAGATGGACATGGACGTGGACGTGGACATGGACATGGACGTGGACATGGACGTGGACGTGGACATGGACATGGACGTGGACGTGGACGTGGACGTGGACGTGGACGTTGACGTGGACATGGACGTGGACGTGCACGTGGACGTGGACATGGACGTGGACGTGGACATGGACATGGACGTGGACGTGGAGGACTTGGACGTGGACATGGACGTGGACGTGGACGTGGACGTGGACATGGACGTGGACATGGACGTGGACATGGACGTGGACGTGGACATGGACGTGGACATGGACGTGGACGTGGACGTGGACGTGGACATGGACGTGGACGTGGACGTGGACATGGACGTGGACGTGGACGTGGAGGACTTGGACGTGGACGTGGACGTGGACGTGGACGTGGACATGGACATGGACGTGGACGTGGACGTGGATATGGACGTGGACGTGGACATGGACGTGGACGTGGACGTGGACATGGACGTGGACGTGGACGTGGAGGACTTGGACGTGGACGTGGACGTGGACGTGGACGTGGACGTAGACATGGACGTGGACATGGACGTGGACATGGACGTGGACATGGACGTGGACGTGACGTGGACGTGGACGTGGACATGGACGTGGTCGTGGACGTGGACATGGACGTGGACGTGGACGTGGAGGACTTGGACGTGGACGTGGACGTGGATGTGGACGTGGACATGGACGTGGACGTGGACGTGGACGTGGACGTGGACATGGACGTGGACATGGACGTGGACATCGACGTGGACGTGGACATGGACGTGGACATGGACGTGGATGTGGACGTGGACGTGGACATGGACGTGGACGTGGACATGGACGTGGACGTGGACATGGACATGGACGTGGACATGGACGTGGACGTGGACGTTGACATGGACGTGGACATGGACGTGGACATGGACGTGGACGTGGACATGGGCGTGGATATGGACGTGGACATGGACGTGGACATGGACATGGACGTGGACGTGGACGTGGACATGGACGTGGACTTAGACGTGGACGTGGACATGTACGTGGACGTGGACGTGGACGTGGACGTGGACATGGACGTGGACGTGAACGTGGACGTGGACGTGGACATGGACGTGGACATGGACGTGGACATGGACGTGGACGTGGACGTGGACATGGACATGGACATGGTTCAAGTGGACGTCCATGTCCACGTCCACGTCCATGTCCACGTCCACGTCCATGTCCATGTCGACGTCCACATCCACGTCCACGTCCATGTCCACGTCCATGTCCATGTCCACGTCCATGTCCACGTTTATGTCCACGTCCATGTCCACGTCCACGTCCATGTCCACGTCCACGTCGACGTCCACGTCCACGTCTACGTCCACGTCCATGTCCACGTCCACACGTCTACATCCACGTCCACGTCGACGTCCACGTCCACGTTTATGTCCACGTCCATGTCCACGTCCATGTCCATGTCCACGTCCACGACCACGTCCATGTCCACGTCCATGTCCACGGTCCATGTCCACGTCCACGTCCACGTCCATGTCCACGTCCATGTCCACGTCCATGTCCAGGGTCCACGTCCATGTCCACGGTCCATGTCCACTGTCCATGTCCACGTCCACGTCCATGTCCACGTCCCACGTCCACCTCCACGTCCATGTCCACGTCCACGTCCATGTCCATGTCGACGTCCACATCCACGTCCACGTCCATGTCCACGTCCATGTCCATGTCCACGTCCATGTCCACGTTTATGTCCACGTCCATGTCCCACGTCCACGTCCATGTCCACGTCCACGTCGACGTCCACGTCCACGTTTACGTCCACGTCCATGTCCACGTCCACACGTCTACATCCACGTCCACGTCGACGTCCACGTCCACGTTTATGTCCACGTCCATGTCCACGTCCATGTCCATGTCCACGTCCACGACCACGTCCATGTCCACGTCCATGTCCACGTCCATGTCCACGTCCACGTCCATGTCCACGTCCATGTCCACGTCCATGTCCAGGTCCACGTCCATGTCCACGTCCATGTCCACGTCCATGTCCACGTCCACGTCCATGTCCACGTCCACGTCGACGTCCACGTCCACGTCTACGTCCACGTCCATGTCCACGTCCACACGTCTACATCCACGTCCACGTCGACGTCCACGTCCACGTTTATGTCCACGTCCATGTCCACGTCCATGTCCATGTCCACGTCCACGTCCACGTCTACGTCCACGTCCAAGTCCATGTCCATGTCCACGTCCAAGTCCTCCACGTCCACGTCCACGTCCATGTCCACATCCACGTCCACGTCCATGTCCACGTCCTGGTCCATGTCCACATCCATGTCCATGTCCACATCCACGTCCATGTCCACGTCCACGTACACGTCCATGTCCACGTCCACGTCCACGTCCACGTCCACGTCCATGTCCACGTCCACATCCATGTCCACGTCCACGTCCACGTCTACGTCCACGTCCACGTCGACGTCCACGTCCATGTCCACGTCCACGTCCACGTCCACGTCCACGTCCACCTCCACGTCCACCTCCATGTCCACGTCCACGTCCACATCCATGTCCACGTCCATGTCCACGTCCACGTCCATGGTCCACGTCCATGTCCACGTCCATGTCCACGTCACGTCCACGTCCATGTCCACGTCCACGTCCACGTCCAAGTCCATGTCCACGTCCATGTCCACGTCCATGTCCATGTCCACGTCCATGTCCATGTCCATGTCCATGTCCACGTCCATGTCCACGTCCATGTCCACGTCCACGTCCACGTCCACGTCCATGTCCACGTCCATGTCCACGTCTATGTCCACGTCCATGTCCACGTCCACGGCCACGTCCATGTCCACGTCCACGTCCACGTCCATGTCCACATCCACGTCCATGTCCACGTCCACGTCCATGTCCACGGTCCATGTCCACGTCCATGTCCACGTCTATGTCCATGTCCACGTCCATGTCCACGTCCATGTCCACGTCCATGTCCACGTTCCATGTCCACGTCCATGTCCACGTTCATGTCCACGTCCATGTCCACGTCCATGTCCACGTCCACGTCCACGTCCATGTCCATGTCCATGTCCATGTCCACGTCCACGTCCACGTCTATGTCCATGTCACGTCCATGTCCACGTCCATGTCCACGGTCCATGTCCACGTCCAAGTCCACGTCCACGTCCACGTCCATGTCCACGTCCACGTCCACGTCCATGTCCACATCCACGTCCACGTCCACGTCCACGTCCACGTCCATGGTCCACGTCCATGTCCAGGTCCACGTCCATGTCCACGTCCATGTCCATGTCCACATCACGTCCACGTCCACGTCCATGTCCATGTCCACGTCCACATCCATGTCCACGTCCACGTCCATGTCCATGTCCAGGTCCATGTCCACGTCCATGTCCACGTCCATGTCCATGTCCACGTCCACGTCCACGTCCATGTCCACGTCCACGTCCATGTCCATGTCCACGTCCACGTCCATGTCCATGTCCATGTCCACGTCCATGTCCACGTCCATGTCCATGTCCACGTCCACGTCCATGTCCACGTCTACGTCCACGTCCACGTCCACGTCCACGTCCATGTCCACGTCCATGGTCCACGTCCATGTCCACGTTCCATGTACACGTCCAGTGTCCATTGTCCCACGTCCACGTCCACGTCCACGTCCACGTCTACGTCCATGTCCACGTCCATGTCCACTGGTCCACGTCCACGTCCACCGTCCACGTCCACGTCCATGTCCCACGTCCACGTCCATGTCCACGTGTCCACGTCCACGTCCACGTGCCATGTCCCACGTCACGTCCACGTCCCTTGTCCCCGTCCCACGTCCACGTCTACCGTCCATGTTCCACGTCCACGTCCACGTCCACGGTCCATGGTCCACGGTCCACGTCCACGTCACGTCCACGTCCATGTCCACGTCCATGGTCCACGTACATGGCCCACGTCCATGTCCACGTCCATTGTCCATGTCCACGTCCCCGTCCACGTCCACGTCCACGGTCCATTGGTCCACGTCCCATGTCCACGTCCCCGTTTCCACGTCCATGTCCACGTCCACGTCCATGTCACGTCCACGTCCACGTCCATGTCCACGTCCACGTCCACGTCCACGTCCACGTCCATGTCCACGTTCATGTCCACGTCCATGTCCACGTCCATGTCCACGTCCATGTCCATGTCCACGTCCATGTCCACGTCCATGTCCACGTCCATATCCACGTCAATGTCCACGTCCATGTCCACGTCCACGTCCACGTCCATGTCCACATCCACGTCCACGTCCACGTCCACGTCCACGTCCATGTCCACGTCCATGTCCACGTCCATGTCCACATCCATGTCCATGTCCACGTCCATGTCCACGTCCATGTCCACGTCCACGTCCACGTCCAAGTCCACGTCCATGTCCACGTCCATGTCCACGTCCAGGTCCACGTCCACGTCCACGTCCATGTCCACGTCCACGTCCACGTCCACGTCCAGGTCCATGTCCACGTCCAGGTCCATGTCCACGTCCATGTCCACGTCCATGTCCACGTCCACGTCCATGTCCACGTCCACGTCCACGTCCATGTCCACGTCCACGTCCACGTCCACGTCCATGTCCACGTCCATGTCCACGTCCATGTCCACGTCCATGTCCATGTCCACGTCCATGTCCACGTCCATGTCCACGTCCATGTCCACGTCCATGTCCACGTCCACGTCCACGTCCATGTCCACGTCCATGTCCACGTCTATGTCCACGTCCACGTCCATGTCCACGTCCATGTCCACGTCCATGTCCATGTCCACGTCCATGTCCACGTCCATGTCCACGTCCATGTCCACGTCCATGTCCACGTCCACGTCCATGTCCACGTCCATGTCCACGTCCACGTCCATGTCCACGTCCACGTCCACGTCCACGTCCACGTCCACGTCCATGTCCACGTCCACGTCCACGTCCACGTCCACCTCCACGTCCACGTCCACCTCCATGTCCACGTCCACGTCCACGTCCACGTCCATGTCCACGTCCATGTCCACGTCCACGTCCATGTTCACGTCCATGTCCACGTCCACGTCCACGTCCACGTCCACGTCCATGTCCACGTCCATGTCCACGTCTATGTCCACGTCCATGTCCACGTCCACGTCCACGTCCACGTCCATGTCCACGTCCACGTCCACGTCCATGTCCACATCCACGTCCATGTCCACGTCCACGTCCATGTCCACGTCCATGTCCACGTCCATGTCCACGTCCATGTCCATGTCCACGTCCATGTCCACGTCCATGTCCACGTCCATGTCCACGTCCATGTCCACGTCCATGTCCACGTTCATGTCCACGTCCATGTCCACGTCCATGTCCACGTCCACGTCCACGTCCATGTCCATGTCCATGTCCATGTCCACGTCCACGTCCACGTCCACGTCCATGTCCATGTCCACGTCCATGTCCACGTCCATGTCCACGTCCACGTCCATGTCCACGTCCACGTCCACGTCCACGTCCATGTCCACGTCCACGTCCACGTCCATGTCCACATCCACGTCCACGTCCACGTCCACGTCCACGTCCACGTCCATGTCCACGTCCATGTCCATGTCCACGTCCATGTCCACGTCCATGTCCATGTCCACGTCCACGTCCACGTCCACGTCCATGTCCATGTCCACGTCCACATCCATGTCCACGTCCACGTCCACGTCCACGTCCATGTCCATGTCCACGTCCACGTCCATGTCCACGTCCACATCCATGTCCACGTCCACGTCCATGTCCATGTCCATGTCCACGTCCATGTCCACGTCCATGTCCATGTCCACGTCCACGTCCACGTCCATGTCCACGTCCACGTCCACGTCCATGTCCATGTCCACGTCCACGTCCATGTCCATGTCCATGTCCACGTCCATGTCCACGTCCATGTCCATGTCCACGTCCACGTCCATGTCCATGTCCACGTCCACGTCCACGTCCACGTCCACGTCCATGTCCACGTCCATGTCCACGTCCATGTCCACGTCCATGTCCACGTCCATGTCCATGTCCACGTCCACGTCCACGTCCATGTCCACGTCCATGTCCACGTCCACGTCCACGTCCACGTCCACGTCCATGTCCACGTCCACGTCCATGTCCACGTCCACGTCCACGTCCACGTCCACGTCCATGTCCACGTCCACGTCCACGTCCATGTCCACGTCCACGTCCACGTCCACGTCCATGTCCACGTCCACGTCCACGTCCACGTCCATGTCCACGTCCACGTCCACGTCCACGTCCACGTCCATGTCCACGTCCATGTCCACGTCCATGTCCACGTCCATGTCCACGTCCATGTCCATGTCCACGTCCACGTCCACGTCCACGTCCATGTCCACGTCCATGTCCACGTCCCCGTCCACGTCCATGTCCACGTCCACGTCCACGTCCATGTCCACGTCCACGTCCACGTCCACGTCCATGTCCACGTCCACGTCCACGTCCTCGTCCACGTCCATGTCCACGTCCATGTCCACGTCCATGTCCACGTCCATGTCCACGTCCATGTCCATGTCCACGTCCATGTCCACGTCCATGTCCACGTCCATATCCACGTCAATGTCCACGTCCATGTCCACGTCCACGTCCACGTCCATGTCCACGTCCACGTCCACGTCCACGTCCACGTCCACGTCCACGTCCATGTCCACGTCCATGTCCACGTCCATGTCCACGTCCATGTCCATGTCCACGTCCATGTCCACGTCCATGTCCACGTCCACGTCCACGTCCAAGTCCACGTCCATGTCCACGTCCATGTCCACGTCCAGGTCCACGTCCACGTCCACGTCCATGTCCACGTCCACGTCCACGTCCACGTCCACGTCCAGGTCCATGTCCACGTCCACGTCCATGTCCACGTCCATGTCCACGTCCATGTCCACGTCCACGTCCATGTCCACGTCCACGTCCACGTCCATGTCCACGTCCACGTCCACGTCCACGTCCATGTCCACGTCCATGTCCACGTCCAAGTCCACGTCCATGTCCATGTCCACGTCCATGTCCACGTCCATGTCCACGTCCATGTCCACGTCCATGTCCACGTCCACGTCCACGTCCATGTCCACGTCCATGTCCACATCCACGTCCACGTCCACATCCATGTCCATGTCCACGTCCACGTCCATGTCCACGTCCACATCCATGTCCACGTCCACGTCCATGTCCATGTCCATGTCCACGTCCATGTCCACGTCCATGTCCATGTCCACGTCCACGTCCACGTCCATGTCCACGTCCACGTCCACGTCCATGTCCATGTCCACGTCCACGTCCATGTCCATGTCCATGTCCACGTCCATGTCCACGTCCATGTCCATGTCCACGTCCACGTCCATGTCCATGTCCACGTCCACGTCCACGTCCACGTCCACGTCCATGTCCACGTCCATGTCCACGTCCACGTCCACGTCCACGTCCATGTCCACATCCACGTCCATATCCACGTCCATGTCCACGTCCACGTCCACGTCCACGTCCATGTCCATGTCCACGTCCACGTCCATGTCCACGTCCACATCCATGTCCACGTCCACGTCCATGTCCATGTCCATGTCCACGTCCATGTCCACGTCCATGTCCATGTCCACGTCCACGTCCACGTCCATGTCCACGTCCACGTCCATGTCCATGTCCACGTCCACGTCCATGTCCATGTCCATGTCCACGTCCATGTCCACGTCCATGTCCATGTCCACGTCCACGTCCATGTCCATGTCCACGTCCACGTCCACGTCCACGTCCACGTCCATGTCCACGTCCATGTCCACGTCCATGTCCACGTCCATGTCCACGTCCATGTCCATGTCCACGTCCACGTCCACGTCCATGTCCACGTCCATGTCCACGTCCACGTCCACGTCCACGTCCACGTCCACGTCCACGTCCATGTCCACGTCCACGTCCATGTCCACGTCCACGTCCACGTCCACGTCCATGTCCACGTCCACGTCCACGTCCATGTCCACGTCCACGTCCACGTCCACGTCCATGTCCACGTCCACGTCCACGTCCACGTCCATGTCCACGTCCACGTCCACGTCCACGTCCATGTCCACGTCCATGTCCACGTCCATGTCCACGTCCATGTCCACGTCCATGTCCATGTCCACGTCCACGTCCACGTCCACGTCCATGTCCACGTCCATGTCCACGTCCACGTCCACGTCCATGTCCATGTCACGTCCACGTCCACGTCCATGTCCACGTCCACGTCCACGTCCACGTCCATGTCCACGTCCACGTCCACGTCCACGTCCACGTCCACGTCCATGTCCACGTCCATGTCCACGTCCATGTCCACGTCCATGTCCACGTCCATGTCCATGTCCACGTCCATGTCCACGTCCATGTCCACGTCCATGTCCACGTCAATGTCCACGTCCATGTCCACGTCCACGTCCACGTCCATGTCCACATTCACGTCCACGTCCACGTCCACGTCCATGTCCACGTCCATGTCCACGTCCATGTCCACGTCCATGTCCATGTCCACGTCCATGTCCACGTCCATGTCCACGTCCACGTCCACGTCCAAGTCCACGTCCATGTCCACGTCCATGTCCACGTCCAGGTCCACGTCCACGTCCACGTCCATGTCCACGTCCACGTCCACGTCCACGTCCACGTCCACGTCCATGTCCACGTCCACGTCCATGTCCACGTCCATGTCCACGTCCATGTCCACGTCCACGTCCATGTCCACGTCCACGTCCACGTCCATGTCCACGTCCACGTCCACGTCCACGTCCATGTCCACGTCCATGTCCACGTCCATGTCCACGTCCATGTCCATGTCCACGTCCATGTCCACGTCCATGTCCACGTCCATGTCCACGTCCATGTCCACGTCCACGTCCACGTCCATGTCCACGTCCATGTCCACGTCCATGTCCACGTCCACGTCCATGTCCACGTCCATGTCCACGTCCATGTCCATGTCCACGTCCATGTCCACGTCCATGTCCACGTCCATGTCCACGTCCATGTCCACGTCCACGTCCATGTCCACGTCCATGTCCACGTCCACGTCCATGTCCACGTCCACGTCCACGTCCACGTCCACGTCCACGTCCATGTCCATGTCCATGTCCATGTCCACGTCCACGTCCACGTCCACGTCCATGTCCACGTCCATGTCCACGTCCACGTCCATGTCCACGTCCATGTCCACGTCCATGTCCACGTCACGTCCACGTCCACGTCCATGTCCACGTCCATGTCCACGTCCATGTCCATGTCCACGTCCATGTCCACGTCCATGTCCACGTCCATGTCCACGTCCATGTCCACGTCCACGTCCATGTCCACGTCCACGTCCATGTCCACGTCCACGTCCACGTCCACGTCCACGTCCATGTCCACGTCCACGTCCACGTCCACGTCCATGTCCACGTCCATGTCCACGTCCACGTCCATGTCCACGTCCACGTCCACGTCCATGTCCACGTCCACGTCCACGTCCACGTCCATGTCCACGTCCACGTCCACGTCCACGTCCACGTCCACGTCCATGTCCACGTCCACGTCCACGTCCACGTCCACGTCCACGTCCACGTCCATGTCCACGTCCATGTCCACGTCCACGTCCACGTCCACGTCCATGTCCACGTCCATGTCCACGTCCAGGTCCAGGTCCACGTCCACGTCCATGTCCACGTCCACGTCCACGTCCACGTCCACGTCCACGTCCACGTCCATGTCCACGTCCACGTCCATGTCCACGTCCATGTCCACGTCCATGTCCACGTCCACGTCCATGTCCACGTCCATGTCCACGTCCATGTCCACGTCCATGTCCACGTCCACGTCCACGTCCATGTCCACGTCCATGTCCACGTCCATGTCCATGTCCACGTCCATGTCCACGTCCATGTCCACGTCCATGTCCATGTCCACGTCCATGTCCACGTCCATGTCCACGTCCATGTCCACGTCTATGTCCACGTCCACGTCCATGTCCACGTCCATGTCCACGTCCATGTCCACGTCCACGTCCACGTCCACGTCCACGTCCACGTCCATGTCCACGTCCACGTCCACGTCCACGTCCACGTCCACGTCCACGTCCACGTCCACGTCCATGTCCACGTCCACGTCCACGTCCACGTCCATGTCCACGTCCATGTCCACGTCCACGTCCATGTCCACGTCCATGTCCACGTCCACGTCCACGTCCACGTCCATGTCCATGTCCACGTCCATGTCCACGTCCACGTCCACGTCCACGTCCATGTCCACGTCCATGTCCACGTCCACGTCCATGTCCACGTCCATGTCCACGTCCATGTCCACGTCACGTCCACGTCCACGTCCATGTCCACGTCCATGTCCACGTCCATGTCCATGTCCACGTCCATGTCCACGTCCATGTCCACGTCCATGTCCACGTCCATGTCCACGTCCACGTCCATGTCCACGTCCACGTCCATGTCCACGTCCACGTCCACGTCCACGTCCATGTCCACGTCCATGTCCACGTCCACGTCCACGTCCATGTCCACGTCCATGTCCACGTCCACGTCCACGTCCACGTCCACGTCCACGTCCATGTCCACGTCCACGTCCATGTCCACGTCCACGTCCACGTCCACGTCCATGTCCACGTCCACGTCCACGTCCATGTCCACGTCCACGTCCACGTCCACGTCCATGTCCACGTCCACGTCCACGTCCACGTCCATGTCCACGTCCACGTCCACGTCCACGTCCATGTCCACGTCCATGTCCACGTACATGTCCACGTCCATGTCCACGTCCATGTCCACGTCCACGTCCACGTCCACGTCCACGTCCACGTCCATGTCCACGTCCATGTCCACGTCCACGTCCATGTCCACGTCCACGTCCACGTCCATGTCCACGTCCACGTCCACGTCCACGTCCATGTCCACGTCCACGTCCACGTCCACGTCCACGTCCATGTCCACGTCCATGTCCACGTCCATGTCCACGTCCATGTCCACGTCCATGTCCATGTCCACGTCCATGTCCACGTCCATGTCCACGTCCATGTCCACGTCCATGTCCACGTCCATGTCCACGTCCACGTCCACGTCCATGTCCACGTCCACGTCCACGTCCACGTCCACGTCCATGTCCACGTCCATGTCCACGTCCATGTCCACGTCCATGTCCATGTCCACGTCCATGTCCACGTCCATGTCCACGTCCACGTCCACGTCCACGTCCACGTCCATGTCCACGTCCATGTCCACGTCCAGGTCCACGTCCATGTCCACGTCCATGTCCACGTCCATGTCCACGTCCACGTCCATGTCCACGTCCATGTCCACGTCCATGTCCATGTCCACGTCCATGTCCACGTCCATGTCCACGTCCATGTCCACGTCCATGTCCACGTCCACGTCCATGTCCACGTCCATGTCCACGTCCATGTCCACGTCCACGTCCACGTCCACGTCCACGTCCATGTCCACGTCCACGTCCACGTCCACGTCCACGTCCACGTCCACGTCCACGTCCACGTCCATGTCCACGTCCACGTCCACGTCCATGTCCACGTCCATGTCCACGTCCACGTCCATGTCCACGTCCATGTCCACGTCCACGTCCACGTCCACGTCCATGTCCATGTCCACGTCCATGTCCACGTCCACGTCCACGTCCACGTCCATGTCCACGTCCATGTCCACGTCCACGTCCATGTCCACGTCCATGTCCACGTCCATGTCCACGTCCACGTCCACGTCCACGTCCATGTCCACGTCCATGTCCACGTCCATGTCCATGTCCACGTCCATGTCCACGTCCATGTCCACGTCCATGTCCACGTCCATGTCCACGTCCACGTCCATGTCCACGTCCACGTCCATGTCCACGTCCACGTCCACGTCCACGTCCATGTCCACGTCCACGTCCACGTCCACGTCCACGTCCACGTCCATGTCCACGTCCATGTCCACGTCCACGTCCACGTCCACGTCCACGTCCACGTCCATGTCCACGTCCACGTCCATGTCCATGTCCACGTCCACGTCCACGTCCACGTCCATGTCCACGTCCACGTCCACGTCCATGTCCACGTCCACGTCCACGTCCACGTCCATGTCCACGTCCACGTCCACGTCCATGTCCACGTCCACGTCCACGTCCACGTCCATGTCCACGTCCATGTCCACGTCCATGTCCACGTCCATGTCCACGTCCATGTCCATGTCCACGTCCACGTCCACGTCCACGTCCACGTCCACGTCCACGTCCATGTCCACGTCCATGTCCACGTCCACGTCCACGTCCATGTCCACGTCCACGTCCACGTCCATGTCCACGTCCATGTCCACGTCCACGTCCACGTCCACGTCCAGGTCCATGTCCACGTCCACGTCCATGTCCACGTCCATGTCCACGTCCATGTCCACGTCCACGTCCATGTCCACGTCCACGTCCACGTCCACGTCCATGTCCACGTCCATGTCCACGTCCATGTCCACGTCCATGTCCATGTCCACGTCCATGTCCACGTCCATGTCCACGTCCATGTCCACGTCCATGTCCACGTCCACGTCCACGTCCATGTCCACGTCCATGTCCACGTCCATGTCCACGTCCACGTCCATGTCCACGTCCATGTCCACGTCCATGTCCATGTCCACGTCCATGTCCACGTCCATGTCCACGTCCATGTCCACGTCCATGTCCACGTCCACGTCCATGTCCACGTCCATGTCCACGTCCACGTCCATGTCCACGTCCACGTCCACGTCCACGTCCACGTCCACGTCCATGTCCACGTCCACGTCCACGTCCACGTCCACGTCCACGTCCACGTCCACGTCCACGTCCATGTCCACGTCCACGTCCACGTCCATGTCCACGTCCATGTCCACCACGTCCACGTCCATGTCCACGTCCATGTCCACGTCCACGTCCACGTCCACGTCCATGTCCATGTCCACGTCCATGTCCACGTCCACGTCCACGTCCACGTCCATGTCCACGTCCATGTCCACGTCCACGTCCATGTCCACGTCCATGTCCACGTCCATGTCCACGTCACGTCCACGTCCACGTCCATGTCCACGTCCATGTCCACGTCCATGTCCATGTCCACGTCCATGTCCACGTCCATGTCCACGTCCATGTCCACGTCCATGTCCACGTCCACGTCCATGTCCACGTCCACGTCCATGTCCACGTCCACGTCCACGTCCACGTCCACGTCCACGTCCATGTCCACGTCCACGTCCACGTCCACGTCCACGTCCACGTCCACGTCCACGTCCATGTCCACGTCCACGTCCACGTCCATGTCCACGTCCATGTCCACGTCCACGTCCATGTCCACGTCCACGTCCATGTCCACGTCCACGTCCACGTCCACGTCCATGTCCACGTCCACGTCCACGTCCACGTCCACGTCCATGTCCACGTCCACGTCCACGTCCACGTCCACGTCCATGTCCACGTCCACGTCCACGTCCACGTCCACGTCCACGTCCATGTCCACGTCCATGTCCACGTCCACGTCCATGTCCACGTCCATGTCCACGTCCATGTCCACGTCCACGTCCACGTCCACGTCCATGTCCACGTCCATGTCCACGTCCATGTCCATGTCCACGTCCATGTCCACGTCCATGTCCACGTCCATGTCCACGTCCATGTCCACGTCCACGTCCATGTCCACGTCCACGTCCATGTCCACGTCCACGTCCACGTCCACGTCCATGTCCACGTCCACGTCCACGTCCACGTCCATGTCCACGTCCATGTCCACGTCCACGTCCACGTCCACGTCCACGTCCACGTCCACGTCCACGTCCATGTCCACGTCCACGTCCATGTCCACGTCCACGTCCACGTCCACGTCCACGTCCATGTCCACGTCCACGTCCACGTCCATGTCCACGTCCACGTCCACGTCCACGTCCATGTCCACGTCCACGTCCACGTCCACGTCCATGTCCACGTCCACGTCCACGTCCACGTCCACGTCCACGTCCATGTCCACGTCCATGTCCACGTCCATGTCCACGTCCATGTCCACGTCCATGTCCATGTCCACGTCCACGTCCACGTCCACGTCCACGTCCATGTCCACGTCCATGTCCACGTCCACGTCCACGTCCATGTCCACGTCCACGTCCACGTCCATGTCCACGTCCACGTCCACGTCCACGTCCATGTCCACGTCCACGTCCACGTCCACGTCCACGTCCACGTCCATGTCCACGTCCATGTCCACGTCCATGTCCACGTCCATGTCCACGTCCATGTCCATGTCCACGTCCATGTCCACGTCCATGTCCACGTCCATGTCCACGTCCATGTCCACGTCCATGTCCACGTCCACGTCCACGTCCATGTCCACGTCCACGTCCACGTCCACGTCCACGTCCACGTCCATGTCCACGTCCATGTCCACGTCCATGTCCACGTCCATGTCCATGTCCACGTCCATGTCCACGTCCATGTCCACGTCCACGTCCACGTCCACGTCCACGTCCATGTCCACGTCCATGTCCACGTCCAGGTCCACGTCCACGTCCACGTCCATGTCCACGTCCACGTCCACGTCCACGTCCACGTCCACGTCCATGTCCACGTCCACGTCCATGTCCACGTCCATGTCCACGTCCATGTCCACGTCCACGTCCATGTCCACGTCCACGTCCACGTCCATGTCCACGTCCATGTCCACGTCCATGTCCACGTCCATGTCCATGTCCACGTCCATGTCCACGTCCATGTCCACGTCCATGTCCACGTCCATGTCCACGTCCACGTCCACGTCCATGTCCACGTCCATGTCCACGTCCATGTCCACGTCCACGTCCATGTCCACGTCCATGTCCACGTCCATGTCCATGTCCACGTCCATGTCCACGTCCATGTCCACGTCCATGTCCACGTCCATGTCCACGTCCACGTCCATGTCCACGTCCACGTCCATGTCCACGTCCACGTCCACGTCCACGTCCATGTCCACGTCCACGTCCACGTCCACGTCCACGTCCATGTCCACGTCCATGTCCACGTCCACGTCCACGTCCACGTCCACGTCCACGTCCATGTCCACGTCCACGTCCATGTCCACGTCCACGTCCACGTCCACGTCCACGTCCATGTCCACGTCCACGTCCACGTCCATGTCCACGTCCACGTCCACGTCCACGTCCATGTCCACGTCCACGTCCACGTCCATGTCCACGTCCACGTCCACGTCCACGTCCATGTCCACGTCCATGTCCACGTCCATGTCCACGTCCATGTCCACGTCCATGTCCATGTCCACGTCCACGTCCACGTCCACGTCCACGTCCATGTCCACGTCCATGTCCACGTCCACGTCCATGTCCACGTCCACGTCCACGTCCATGTCCACGTCCACGTCCACGTCCACGTCCATGTCCACGTCCACGTCCACGTCCACGTCCACGTCCACGTCCACGTCCATGTCCACGTCCATGTCCACGTCCATGTCCACGTCCATGTCCACGTCCATGTCCATGTCCACGTCCATGTCCACGTCCATGTCCACGTCCATGTCCACGTCCATGTCCACGTCCATGTCCACGTCCACGTCCACGTCCATGTCCACGTCCACGTCCACGTCCACGTCCACGTCCATGTCCACGTCCATGTCCACGTCCATGTCCACGTCCATGTCCATGTCCACGTCCATGTCCACGTCCATGTCCACGTCCACGTCCACGTCCACGTCCACGTCCATGTCCACGTCCATGTCCACGTCCATGTCCACGTCCACGTCCACGTCCATGTCCACGTCCACGTCCACGTCCACGTCCACGTCCACGTCCACGTCCATGTCCACGTCCACGTCCATGTCCACGTCCATGTCCACGTCCATGTCCACGTCCACGTCCATGTCCACGTCCACGTCCACGTCCACGTCCATGTCCACGTCCATGTCCACGTCCATGTCCACGTCCATGTCCATGTCCACGTCCATGTCCACGTCCATGTCCACGTCCATGTCCACGTCCATGTCCACGTCCACGTCCACGTCCATGTCCACGTCCATGTCCACGTCCATGTCCACGTCCACGTCCATGTCCACGTCCATGTCCACGTCCATGTCCATGTCCACGTCCATGTCCACGTCCATGTCCACGTCCATGTCCACGTCCATGTCCACGTCCACGTCCATGTCCACGTCCATGTCCACGTCCACGTCCATGTCCACGTCCACGTCCACGTCCACGTCCACGTCCACGTCCATGTCCACGTCCACGTCCACGTCCACGTCCACGTCCACGTCCACGTCCACGTCCACGTCCATGTCCACGTCCACGTCCACGTCCACGTCCATGTCCACGTCCATGTCCACGTCCACGTCCATGTCCACGTCCATGTCCACGTCCACGTCCACGTCCACGTCCATGTCCATGTCCACGTCCATGTCCACGTCCACGTCCACGTCCATGTCCACGTCCATGTCCACGTCCACGTCCATGTCCACGTCCATGTCCACGTCCATGTCCACGTCCACGTCCACGTCCATGTCCATGTCCACGTCCATGTCCACGTCCATGTCCACGTCCACGTCCATGTCCACGTCCATGTCCACGTCCATGTCCACGTCCATGTCCACGTCCACGTCCATGTCCACGTCCATGTCCACGTCCATGTCCACGTCCACGTCCATGTCCACGTCCACGTCCACGTCCATGTCCACGTCCATGTCCACGTCCATGTCCACGTCCATGTCCATGTCCACGTCCATGTCCACGTCCCTGTCCACGTCCATGTCCACGTCCATGTCCACGTCCACGTCCACGTCCATGTCCACGTCCATGTCCACGTCCATGTCCACGTCCACGTCCATGTCCACGTCCATGTCCACGTCCATGTCCATGTCCACGTCCATGTCCACGTCCATGTCCACGTCCATGTCCACGTCCATGTCCACGTCCACGTCCATGTCCACGTCCACGTCCATGTCCACGTCCACGTCCACGTCCACGTCCATGTCCACGTCCACGTCCACGTCCACGTCCACGTCCATGTCCACGTCCATGTCCACGTCCACGTCCACGTCCACGTCCACGTCCACGTCCATGTCCACGTCCACGTCCATGTCCACGTCCACGTCCACGTCCACGTCCACGTCCATGTCCACGTCCACGTCCACGTCCATGTCCACGTCCACGTCCACGTCCACGTCCATGTCCACGTCCACGTCCATGTCCACGTCCACGTCCACGTCCACGTCCATGTCCACGTCCATGTCCACGTCCATGTCCACGTCCATGTCCACGTCCATGTCCATGTCCACGTCCACGTCCACGTCCACGTCCACGTCCATGTCCACGTCCATGTCCACGTCCACGTCCATGTCCACGTCCACGTCCACGTCCATGTCCACGTCCACGTCCACGTCCACGTCCATGTCCACGTCCACGTCCACGTCCACGTCCACGTCCACGTCCACGTCCATGTCCACGTCCATGTCCACGTCCATGTCCACGTCCATGTCCACGTCCATGTCCATGTCCACGTCCATGTCCACGTCCATGTCCACGTCCATGTCCACGTCCATGTCCACGTCCATGTCCACGTCCACGTCCACGTCCATGTCCACGTCCACGTCCACGTCCACGTCCACGTCCATGTCCACGTCCATGTCCACGTCCATGTCCACGTCCATGTCCATGTCCACGTCCATGTCCACGTCCATGTCCACGTCCACGTCCACGTCCACGTCCACGTCCATGTCCACGTCCATGTCCACGTCCAGGTCCACGTCCACGTCCACGTCCATGTCCACGTCCACGTCCACGTCCACGTCCACGTCCACGTCCACGTCCATGTCCACGTCCACGTCCATGTCCACGTCCATGTCCACGTCCATGTCCACGTCCACGTCCATGTCCACGTCCACGTCCACGTCCACGTCCATGTCCACGTCCATGTCCACGTCCATGTCCACGTCCATGTCCATGTCCACGTCCATGTCCACGTCCATGTCCACGTCCATGTCCACGTCCATGTCCACGTCCACGTCCACGTCCATGTCCACGTCCATGTCCACGTCCATGTCCACGTCCACGTCCATGTCCACGTCCATGTCCACGTCCATGTCCATGTCCACGTCCATGTCCACGTCCATGTCCACGTCCATGTCCACGTCCATGTCCACGTCCACGTCCATGTCCACGTCCATGTCCACGTCCACGTCCATGTCCACGTCCATGTCCACGTCCATGTCCACGTCCACGTCCACGTCCACGTCCACGTCCACGTCCACGTCCATGTCCACGTCCACGTCCATGTCCACGTCCACGTCCATGTCCACGTCCATGTCCACGTCCATGTCCACGTCCACGTCCATGTCCACGTCCACGTCCATGTCCACGTCCATGTCCACGTCCACGTCCACGTCCATGTCCATGTCCACGTCCATGTCCACGTCCACGTCCATGTCCACGTCCATGTCCACGTCCACGTCCACGTCCACGTCCATGTCCATGTCCACGTCCATGTCCACGTCCACGTCCACGTCCACGTCCACGTCCATGTCCACGTCCATGTCCACGTCCACGTCCACGTCCACGTCCATGTCCACGTCCATGTCCACGTCCACGTCCACGTCCACGTCCATGTCCACGTCCATGTCCACGTCCACGTCCACGTCCACGTCCATGTCCACGTCCATGTCCACGTCCATGTCCACGTCCATGTCCACGTCCATGTCCATGTCCACGTCCATGTCCACGTCCATGTCCACGTCCATGTCCACGTCCATGTCCATGTCCATGTCCACGTCCACGTCCACGTCCACGTCCACGTCCACGTCCACGTCCACGTCCACGTCCACGTCCATGTCCACGTCCATGTCCACGTCCATGTCCATGTCCACGTCCATGTCCATGTCCACGTCCATGTCCATGTCCACGTCCACGTCCATGTCCACGTCCATGTCCATGTCCACGTCCATGTCCACGTCCACGTCCACGTCCATGTCCACGTCCACGTCCACGTCCACGTCCATGTCCACGTCCATGTCCACGTCCATGTCCACGTCCACGTCCACGTCCATGTCCACGTCCATGTCCACGTCCATGTCCACGTCCACGTCCACGTCCATGTCCATGTCCACGTCCATGTCCATGTCCACGTCCATGTCCACGTCCATGTCCACGTCCATGTCCACGTCCACGTCCATGTCCACGTCCACGTCCACGTCCATGTCCACGTCCACGTCCACGTCCACGTCCACGTCCATGTCCATGTCCACGTCCATGTCCACGTCCATGTCCACGTCCATGTCCACGTCCATGTCCACGTCCATGTCCACGTCCATGTCCACGTCCACGTCCACGTCCACGTCCATGTCCACGTCCATGTCCACGTCCATGTCCACGTCCACGTCCACGTCCATGTCCACGTCCACGTCCACGTCCACGTCCACGTCCACGTCCAGGTCCATGTCCACGTCCACGTCCATGTCCACGTCCATGTCCACGTCCATGTCCACGTCCACGTCCATGTCCACGTCCACGTCCACGTCCACGTCCATGTCCACGTCCATGTCCACGTCCATGTCCACGTCCATGTCCATGTCCACGTCCATGTCCACGTCCATGTCCACGTCCATGTCCACGTCCATGTCCACGTCCACGTCCACGTCCATGTCCACGTCCATGTCCACGTCCATGTCCACGTCCACGTCCATGTCCACGTCCATGTCCACGTCCATGTCCATGTCCACGTCCATGTCCACGTCCATGTCCACGTCCATGTCCACGTCCATGTCCACGTCCACGTCCATGTCCACGTCCATGTCCACGTCCACGTCCATGTCCACGTCCACGTCCACGTCCACGTCCACGTCCACGTCCATGTCCACGTCCACGTCCACGTCCACGTCCACGTCCACGTCCACGTCCACGTCCATGTCCACGTCCACGTCCACGTCCACGTCCACGTCCACGTCCATGTCCACGTCCATGTCCACGTCCACGTCCACGTCCACGTCCACGTCCATGTCCACGTCCACGTCCACGTCCACGTCCATGTCCACGTCCAGGTCCATGTCCACGTCCATGTCCACGTCCATGTCCACGTCCACGTCCATGTCCACGTCCACGTCCACGTCCACGTCCACGTCCATGTCCACGTCCATGTCCACGTCCATGTCCACGTCCATGTCCATGTCCACGTCCATGTCCACGTCCATGTCCACGTCCATGTCCACGTCCATGTCCACGTCCACGTCCACGTCCATGTCCACGTCCATGTCCACGTCCATGTCCACGTCCACGTCCATGTCCACGTCCATGTCCACGTCCATGTCCATGTCCACGTCCATGTCCACGTCCATGTCCACGTCCATGTCCACGTCCATGTCCATGTCCACGTCCATGTCCACGTCCATGTCCATGTCCACGTCCATGTCCACGTCCACGTCCACGTCCACGTCCACGTCCACGTCCATGTCCACGTCCACGTCCACGTCCACGTCCACGTCCACGTCCACGTCCACGTCCACGTCCATGTCCACGTCCATGTCCACGTCCACGTCCATGTCCACGTCCATGTCCACGTCCACGTCCATGTCCACGTCCATGTCCACGTCCACGTCCACGTCCACGTCCATGTCCATGTCCACGTCCATGTCCACGTCCACGTCCACGTCCACGTCCATGTCCACGTCCATGTCCACGTCCACGTCCATGTCCACGTCCATGTCCACGTCCATGTCCACGTCCACGTCCACGTCCACGTCCATGTCCACGTCCATGTCCACGTCCATGTCCATGTCCACGTCCATGTCCACGTCCATGTCCACGTCCATGTCCACGTCCATGTCCACGTCCACGTCCATGTCCACGTCCACGTCCATGTCCACGTCCACGTCCACGTCCACGTCCACGTCCACGTCCACGTCCACGTCCACGTCCACGTCCACGTCCATGTCCACGTCCACGTCCACGTCCACGTCCATGTCCACGTCCATGTCCACGTCCACGTCCATGTCCACGTCCACGTCCATGTCCACGTCCACGTCCACGTCCACGTCCATGTCCACGTCCACGTCCACGTCCACGTCCATGTCCACGTCCACGTCCACGTCCACGTCCATGTCCACGTCCACGTCCACGTCCACGTCCATGTCCACGTCCACGTCCACGTCCACGTCCACGTCCATGTCCACGTCCACGTCCACGTCCACGTCCACGTCCATGTCCACGTCCATGTCCACGTCCATGTCCACGTCCATGTCCATGTCCACGTCCACGTCCACGTCCACGTCCATGTCCATGTCCATGTCCACGTCCACGTCCACGTCCATGTCCACGTCCACGTCCACGTCCACGTCCACGTCCATGTCCACGTCCACGTCCACGTCCACGTCCATGTCCACGTCCATGTCCACGTCCATGTCCACGTCCATGTCCACGTCCATGTCCATGTCCACGTCCATGTCCACGTCCATGTCCACGTCCATGTCCACGTCCATGTCCATGTCCATGTCCACGTCCACGTCCACGTCCACGTCCACGTCCACGTCCACGTCCACGTCCACGTCCACGTCCATGTCCACGTCCATGTCCACGTCCATGTCCATGTCCACGTCCATGTCCATGTCCACGTCCACGTCCATGTCCATGTCCACGTCCATGTCCACGTCCATGTCCATGTCCACGTCCATGTCCACGTCCATGTCCACGTCCATGTCCACGTCCATGTCCACGTCCACGTCCACGTCCATGTCCACGTCCATGTCCACGTCCACGTCCACGTCCACGTCCACGTCCACGTCCATGTCCACGTCCATGTCCACGTCCATGTCCACGTCCACGTCCACGTCCATGTCCATGTCCACGTCCATGTCCACGTCCACGTCCATGTCCACGTCCATGTCCACGTCCATGTCCACGTCCACGTCCATGTCCACGTCCACGTCCACGTCCATGTCCACGTCCACGTCCACGTCCACGTCCACGTCCATGTCCATGTCCACGTCCATGTCCACGTCCATGTCCACGTCCATGTCCACGTCCATGTCCACGTCCATGTCCACGTCCATGTCCACGTCCATGTCCACGTCCACGTCCATGTCCACGTCCATGTCCACGTCCATGTCCATGTCCACGTCCATGTCCACGTCCATGTCCACGTCCATGTCCACGTCCATGTCCACGTCCACGTCCATGTCCACGTCCATGTCCACGTCCACGTCCATGTCCACGTCCACGTCCACGTCCACGTCCATGTCCACGTCCACGTCCACGTCCACGTCCACGTCCACGTCCACGTCCACGTCCACGTCCACGTCCACGTCCACGTCCATGTCCACGTCCATGTCCACGTCCATGTCCATGTCCACGTCCACGTCCACGTCCACGTCCACGTCCACGTCCATGTCCACGTCCATGTCCACGTCCATGTCCACGTCCATGTCCACGTCCATGTCCATGTCCACGTCCATGTCCACGTCCATGTCCACGTCCATGTCCACGTCCATGTCCACGTCCACGTCCACGTCCACGTCCACGTCCATGTCCACGTCCATGTCCACGTCCATGTCCACGTCCACGTCCATGTCCACGTCCATGTCCACGTCCATGTCCACGTCCACGTCCATGTCCACGTCCATGTCCACGTCCACGTCCACGTCCATGTCCACGTCCATGTCCACGTCCATGTCCATGTCCACGTCCACGTCCACGTCCACGTCCACGTCCATGTCCACGTCCATGTCCACGTCCATGTCCACGTCCACGTCCATGTCCACGTCCATGTCCACGTCCATGTCCACGTCCATGTCCATGTCCATGTCCATGTCCACGTCCACGTCCATGTCCATGTCCACGTCCACGTCCTCCACGTCCACGTCCACGTCCATGTCCACGTCCACGTCCACGTCCATGTCCACGTCCACGTCCATGTCCACGTCCATGTCCATGTCCACGTCCACGTCCATGTCCACGTCCACGTCCACGTCCATGTCCACGTCCACGTCCACGTCCATGTCCACGTCCACGTCCACGTCCATGTCCACGTCCACGTCCACGTCCATGTCCACGTCCACGTCCACGTCCACGTCCACGTCCACGTCCATGTCCACGTCCACGTCCACGTCCACGTCCATGTCCACGTCCATGTCCACGTCCACGTCCATGTCCACGTCCACGTCCACGTCCATGTCCACGTCCACGTCCACGTCCACGTCCATGTCCACGTCCACGTCCACGTCCACGTCCACGTCCACGTCCATGTCCACGTCCATGTCCACGTCCATGTCCACGTCCATGTCCACGTCCACGTCCATGTCCACGTCCATGTCCACGTCCATGTCCACGTCCACGTCCATGTCCACGTCCACGTCCACGTCCATGTCCACGTCCACGTCCACGTCCACGTCCACGTCCATGTCCACGTCCATGTCCACGTCCATGTCCACGTCCATGTCCATGTCCACGTCCATGTCCACGTCCATGTCCACGTCCATGTCCACGTCCATGTCCACGTCCACGTCCACGTCCATGTCCACGTCCATGTCCACGTCCATGTCCACGTCCACGTCCATGTCCACGTCCATGTCCACGTCCATGTCCATGTCCACGTCCATGTCCACGTCCATGTCCACGTCCATGTCCACGTCCATGTCCACGTCCACGTCCATGTCCACGTCCATGTCCACGTCCACGTCCATGTCCACGTCCACGTCCACGTCCACGTCCATGTCCACGTCCACGTCCATGTCCACGTCCATGTCCACGTCCATGTCCACGTCCACGTCCACGTCCATGTCCATGTCCACGTCCATGTCCACGTCCACGTCCACGTCCACGTCCATGTCCACGTCCATGTCCACGTCCACGTCCATGTCCACGTCCACGTCCACGTCCATCCACGTCCACGTCCACGTCCACGTCTCACGTCCATGTCCACGTCCACGTCCACGTCCACGTCCACGTCCATGTCCACGTCCACGTCCACGTCCACGTCCATGTCCACGTCCACGTCCACGTCCACGTCCACGTCCACGTCCACGTCCACGTCCACGTCCACGTCCATGTCCACGTCCACGTCCACGTCCATGTCCACGTCCACGTCCACGTCCACGTCCACGTCCATGTCCACGTCCATGTCCACGTCCATGTCCACGTCCATGTCCACGTCCATGTCCATGTCCACGTCCACGTCCACGTCCACGTCCACGTCCATGTCCACGTCCATGTCCACGTCCACGTCCACGTCCATGTCCACGTCCACGTCCACGTCCACGTCCACGTCCACGTCCACGTCCATGTCCACGTCCACGTCCACGTCCACGTCCACGTCCATGTCCACGTCCATGTCCACGTCCATGTCCACGTCCATGTCCACGTCCATGTCCATGTCCACGTCCATGTCCACGTCCATGTCCACGTCCATGTCCACGTCCATGTCCATGTCCATGTCCACGTCCACGTCCACGTCCACGTCCACGTCCACGTCCACGTCCATGTCCACGTCCATGTCCACGTCCATGTCCATGTCCACGTCCATGTCCATGTCCACGTCCACGTCCATGTCCATGTCCACGTCCATGTCCACGTCCATGTCCACGTCCACGTCCATGTCCACGTCCATGTCCACGTCCATGTCCACGTCCATGTCCACGTCCACGTCCACGTCCACGTCCACGTCCATGTCCACGTCCATGTCCACGTCCATGTCCACGTCCACGTCCACGTCCATGTCCACGTCCATGTCCACGTCCACGTCCACGTCCACGTCCATGTCCATGTCCACGTCCATGTCCACGTCCACGTCCATGTCCACGTCCATGTCCACGTCCATGTCCACGTCCACGTCCATGTCCACGTCCACGTCCACGTCCATGTCCACGTCCACGTCCACGTCCACGTCCACGTCCACGTCCATGTCCACGTCCATGTCCACGTCCATGTCCACGTCCATGTCCACGTCCATGTCCACGTCCATGTCCACGTCCATGTCCACGTCCACGTCCACGTCCACGTCCATGTCCACGTCCATGTCCACGTCCATGTCCACGTCCACGTCCATGTCCACGTCCATGTCCACGTCCATGTCCATGTCCACGTCCATGTCCACGTCCATGTCCACGTCCATGTCCACGTCCATGTCCACGTCCACGTCCATGTCCACGTCCATGTCCACGTCCACGTCCACGTCCACGTCCACGTCCATGTCCACGTCCATGTCCACGTCCACGTCCACGTCCACGTCCATGTCCATGTCCACGTCCATGTCCACGTCCACGTCCATGTCCACGTCCATGTCCACGTCCATGTCCACGTCCACGTCCATGTCCACGTCCACGTCCACGTCCATGTCCACGTCCACGTCCACGTCCACGTCCACGTCCACGTCCATGTCCACGTCCATGTCCACGTCCATGTCCACGTCCATGTCCACGTCCATGTCCATGTCCACGTCCACGTCCACGTCCACGTCCATGTCCATGTCCACGTCCATGTCCACGTCCATGTCCACGTCCACGTCCATGTCCACGTCCACGTCCACGTCCATGCCACGTCCACGTCCACGTCCACGTCCACGTCCATGTCCACGTCCATGTCCACGTCCATGTCCACGTCCACGTCCATGTCCACGTCCATGTCCACGTCCACGTCCACGTCCACGTCCATGTCCACGTCCATGTCCACGTCCATGTCCATGTCCACGTCCACGTCCACGTCCACGTCCATGTCCACGTCCATGTCCACGTCCATGTCCACGTCCATGTCCACGTCCATGTCCATGTCCACGTCCACGTCCACGTCCACGTCCACGTCCACGTCCACGTCCATGTCCACGTCCATGTCCACGTCCATGTCCATGTCCACGTCCATGTCCATGTCCACGTCCACGTCCACGTCCATGTCCACGTCCATGTCCACGTCCATGTCCATGTCCACGTCCATGTCCACGTCCATGTCCACGTCCATGTCCACGTCCATGTCCACGTCCATGTCCACGTCCACGTCCATGTCCACGTCCATGTCCACGTCCATGTCCACGTCCACGTCCACGTCCACGTCCATGTCCACGTCCATGTCCACGTCCACGTCCACGTCCATGTCCACGTCCATGTCCACGTCCATGTCCACGTCCATGTCCACGTCCATGTCCACGTCCACGTCCACGTCCATGTCCACGTCCACGTCCACGTCCACGTCCACGTCCATGTCCACGTCCATGTCCACGTCCATGTCCACGTCCACGTCCATGTCCATGTCCACGTCCACGTCCATGTCCATGTCCACGTCCATGTCCACGTCCATGTCCATGTCCACGTCCATGTCCACGTCCATGTCCACGTCCATGTCCACGTCCATGTCCACGTCCACGTCCACGTCCATGTCCACGTCCATGTCCACGTCCACGTCCACGTCCACGTCCATGTCCACGTCCATGTCCACGTCCACGTCCACGTCCATGTCCACGTCCACGTCCACGTCCACGTCCATGTCCACGTCCATGTCCACGTCCACGTCCACGTCCACGTCCACGTCCACGTCCACGTCCATGTCCACGTCCATGTCCACGTCCACGTCCATGTCCACGTCCATGTCCACGTCCATGTCCACGTCCATGTCCACGTCCACGTCCATGTCCACGTCCACGTCCACGTCCATGTCCACGTCCACGTCCACGTCCACGTCCACGTCCATGTCCACGTCCATGTCCACGTCCATGTCCACGTCCACGTCCATGTCCACGTCCATGTCCACGTCCACGTCCACGTCCACGTCCATGTCCACGTCCATGTCCACGTCCATGTCCATGTCCACGTCCACGTCCACGTCCACGTCCACGTCCATGTCCACGTCCATGTCCACGTCCATGTCCACGTCCATGTCCACGTCCATGTCCATGTCCACGTCCACGTCCACGTCCACGTCCACGTCCACGTCCACGTCCACGTCCATGTCCACGTCCATGTCCACGTCCATGTCCATGTCCACGTCCATGTCCATGTCCACGTCCACGTCCATGTCCATGTCCACGTCCATGTCCACGTCCATGTCCATGTCCACGTCCACGTCCATGTCCACGTCCATGTCCACGTCCATGTCCACGTCCACGTCCATGTCCACGTCCACGTCCATGTCCACGTCCATGTCCACGTCCACGTCCACGTCCACGTCCATGTCCACGTCCATGTCCACGTCCACGTCCACGTCCACGTCCATGTCCATGTCCACGTCCACGTCCACGTCCACGTCCACGTCCATGTCCACGTCCATGTCCACGTCCACGTCCATGTCCACGTCCATGTCCACGTCCATGTCCACGTCCATGTCCACGTCCACGTCCATGTCCATGTCCACGTCCACGTCCACGTCCACGTCCATGTCCACGTCCACGTCCATGTCCACGTCCATGTCCACGTCCACGTCCATGTCCACGTCCACGTCCATGTCCACGTCCATGTCCACGTCCACGTCCACGTCCACGTCCATGTCCACGTCCATGTCCACGTCCACGTCCACGTCCACGTCCATGTCCACGTCCACGTCCACGTCCACGTCCACGTCCACGTCCATGTCCACGTCCATGTCCACGTCCACGTCCACGTCCACGTCCATGTCCACGTCCATGTCCACGTCCACGTCCACGTCCACGTCCACGTCCATGTCCACGTCCACGTCCACGTCCACGTCCATGTCCACGTCCATGTCCACGTCCACGTCCATGTCCACGTCCATGTCCACGTCCATGTCCACGTCCATGTCCACGTCCACGTCCATGTCCACGTCCACGTCCACGTCCATGTCCACGTCCACGTCCACGTCCACGTCCACGTCCATGTCCACGTCCATGTCCACGTCCATGTCCACGTCCACGTCCATGTCCACGTCCATGTCCACGTCCACGTCCACGTCCACGTCCATGTCCATGTCCATGTCCACGTCCATGTCCATGTCCACGTCCACGTCCACGTCCACGTCCACGTCCATGTCCACGTCCATGTCCACGTCCATGTCCACGTCCATGTCCACGTCCATGTCCACGTCCACGTCCACGTCCACGTCCACGTCCACGTCCACGTCCACGTCCACGTCCATGTCCACGTCCATGTCCACGTCCATGTCCATGTCCACGTCCATGTCCATGTCCACGTCCACGTCCACGTCCATGTCCACGTCCATGTCCACGTCCATGTCCATGTCCACGTCCATGTCCACGTCCATGTCCACGTCCATGTCCACGTCCATGTCCACGTCCACGTCCACGTCCACGTCCATGTCCACGTCCATGTCCACGTCCATGTCCACGTCCACGTCCACGTCCATGTCCACGTCCACGTCCACGTCCACGTCCACGTCCATGTCCACGTCCATGTCCACGTCCACGTCCATGTCCACGTCCATGTCCATGTCCACGTCCACGTCCATGTCCATGTCCACGTCCATGTCCACGTCCATGTCCACGTCCATGTCCACGTCCACGTCCACGTCCATGTCCATGTCCACGTCCACGTCCACGTCCACGTCCACGTCCATGTCCACGTCCATGTCCACGTCCATGTCCATGTCCACGTCCACGTCCACGTCCACGTCCACGTCCACGTCCACGTCCACGTCCACGTCCATGTCCACGTCCATGTCCACGTCCATGTCCATGTCCACGTCCATGTCCATGTCCACGTCCACGTCCATGTCCATGTCCACGTCCATGTCCACGTCCATGTCCATGTCCACGTCCATGTCCACGTCCATGTCCACGTCCATGTCCACGTCCATGTCCACGTCCACGTCCACGTCCACGTCCATGTCCACGTCCATGTCCACGTCCATGTCCACGTCCACGTCCACGTCCACGTCCATGTCCACGTCCATGTCCACGTCCACGTCCACGTCCACGTCCATGTCCATGTCCACGTCCATGTCCACGTCC